GCTGCAGCGGGACTTGCGGTGAGTGACAGCGCGGGAGGTGGGGCGTTTGGAACATTCCACGTGGTGAATGGGGCGTTCAGAATCAGGGCCAAGCCTTCGTATTGGTGGGCAAGGCGAACGGGGCGGGGGGAGGGAGCGACATCCGGGGTGCGATTTCGCTGGAACGTGGAGTAGAACGCAGAGGAGCATCTGATGTTTATCGAATTACAGCTGGCATTCCGGAGCCAGTTCTCGTGTTTGAATCCTGGCTTGGCCACATGTGAGCACGTTCTACATCTCGTCTCGCCTCTCTGCGCCTTACAAACCTTCCTCATTTGTGAGAGGACGTTTACCTTTCTCATTTGGTGGTTTTGGGTTTCCAATGTATTCAGTCCTTGTAAAGGACGTACCACAAGCTGAGTGGCTTGGAAGGCCGAGGCCAGTATGGGCTACAGAGCCAGACCCTGTCTCCAGAAAAATTAAAAGAAAAGAAAACGAAGCTAAGTTTGGTGGCTGAGGCAGGAGGAATGCTTGAGCCCAGGAGTTCGAGGCCAGCCTGGGCAACAAAGCAAGACCCCCCCCCATCTCAAAAAAAAAAAAAAAAGTTGAGAGGATAAAAATGAAACAGCTCAGTCGCTGCATAGTTGCGCGTGCACATTTACAACCCCAGCTACTCCAGAGACTGAGGTCTGAGGATCGTTTGAGCCCATGAGTTAAAGACAAGCCTAAGGCAAAAAAAAATTATCTCAGATGCCTGAAACACATGAAATGGCTCTGAATAACTCTTACTGCTGCTATTAAACTGAGCAGGAAGTAAGGTGTTCAGAACTAGGGCTGTGAGCATCCTAAAAGGGATGGAGGATATTTTAGGGCAAGGATGGCACATTTTGATTGGCATGAGGCATTGGAAAAATAATAGTAATGAATAAAACAAAGTCACACAGGTAGTAAAGAGTAGAACCCAAATTCAGACCCAGGCAGTCTGACCCAGAGACCAAAATTTTAATGTAAGCACTAAAATATCTGTCTTGTTTTGTTTTGTTTTTGAGACAGGGTCTCATTATGTAGCCCTGGCTATCCTTGAACTCACCATCCTCCTGCCTCAGCCTCTTGAGAGCTGGGATTACAGATGTGAGTCACCATACCTGACTTAGGGCATGCTGTGAGATGTCTCAAGAAGGACAGGGCTACATATTGGTCACCATTGTATTTTCATCCTGTCAGAAAGGTACTGGACCATCGAGACAAGGTATATGAGCAGCTGGCCACATACCTTCAACTGAAAAATGTCATTGAGCGACTGCAGGTAAAGACTTCTGGGTTGAGTACAGTTTTTATTTGTGGAGGGACAGGGAGGGAAATGGGAAGAAAGACCCCAGGCCAAAACTTGTCACCTTGCCTAAAAGTTGACCACTGACTCCTACTTCTTTTTCCCTGGCCCCGCAGGAAGCTAAACATTCGGAGTTATATATGCAGGTGGATTTGGGCTGTAACTTCTTCGTTGATACAGTGGTGTGAGTGTCTGCCCGCCCCTCTGAACCTACTGGGTTCGGATTTCCTCTTTCCTTCATGCAACAAACACTCTTTTTCACATCTTATACATAGCAGACACTGTAGTATTCATATTCCATTAGTATATAAGCTAGATGCTGGGGATGTGACAGTGAATAAAATAGGACAAAATCCTTACCCTTCCCAGAGCTTCAGTTTGGGGAAGGGGAGGGAATAAGAAACAAACAAACTGTATGGTATACTAAACAGTAATAAGGATTTTCCCCCACTCCCTCTGACTTCCCTTTTCTTAGCTCAGATACTTCACGCATCTATGTGGCCCTGGGATATGGTTTTTTCCTGGAGTTGACACTGGCAGAAGCTCTCAAGTTCATTGATCGTAAGAGCACTCTTCTCACAGAGTAAGTCCATTCCATGAGGATAGTGTCTAAAACCAATAATGGCTGGGGATGTGGCTCGGTGGTAGAGTACTTGCCTAGCATGCATGAGGCCCTGGCTTCTATCTCCAGTACCATACACAAAGAAATACATAAATAAATAAAAATACTCATTTACAACACTCTTCCTTTTTCCCTTAAGGACCTATTTCCCTTCCCCCTCAGGGTTGGGGCTGAGCAAAGTGGGGGTGCAAAGCTCAGCCCCAGGTGTAGCACATGATAAGCATTTAATGAATGGTCTTTGTATCATTCATTCACACACACATTTATTGGGCATCTTTTGTATGCCAGGCTCTGTGCTTAGTGGTGAGGATGCAGCAGTGAACAAGACAGAAGTCTTAGAAGACAGACTGTGCTATTATACGTACATTCCATTATGACCAGATCCATGAGGTCTTAGCCTGTACATCAGTAGCAATAAAACAGGTTACCTCTCACTTCACCTTCTGCTAATTTTCTTGCTTTTCAGTGTGCTCTCACCACGTTGAACTTGATATGCTCTTTAAACACCCAAGGCAAATGCAGTGACTATTCTCTCTGCCTGCAGTGTGCTTCCCTGCTTCTTCTTCCTATGCGGTTGTTTTAATTATTACTCCCTCAACTAGGTCTTCTGTGACCTAACTTTAAAATTATAACCCCTACACCTTTGAATCCTCTCCATTCTTCTACTTTTTCTTTTTTTCCAGCACTTATCACCCAATATTTACTGTGTAATTTCTTTCTCAAATTTGTCATCTCCCCCAGCTAGGTTATAAGCTCTATTTTATTTTATTTTTTTCACTGCTGGGACTCAAACCCAGGGCCTCATGTGCTAGGCAAGCACTTTACCACTGAGCTATACTCCAGCCCAAGAGAGATTTTGTCTATGCCCCAGGTGACTATTGTGCACAACATACAGTAGACATTGTGTCTGTTGAATGAGTTTAAAGGGACTCCTGGAAGCCACCCTCAACATGCCAGATCTCATCTGGAAACAAATTGAAGTAATTGAAGCAGATCTATGTGGTTAGTGATGGGTAGACAAAGTGTGGCCTCCAGATGAATTGAGGTTTTGTGCAGGGAAGGGTAATAAGGAGTGTGAATGAGGCGTTTGAAATGCTGGTAGGGAGGGTCTCCCAGAGGAAGTGACGTTTGAGTGTGCAAGCAGGGAGGCTATCTATCTGGGAAAGAGCATTACTGGAAAAAGGGACAAAGTGCCCAGCATGCTGGAGAAACTGCCAAGAGGGGCAAGCATGACCCAGTGTGGGACATTGAACAATATACGTAACACAGATCAATAACATCTCACAGGTGTGAATACCACTGATCTCAAATTCTTCCTTTGTTATGTTTATTCCTACATTCATTTCTTCTAGAGTTGCCTCCAGTAGGTTTCAGTAATCTCTTTTCAAACCTTTCCAGGGTGTCAGTGTTAGTGGACCCAAGACCAGCTGAGATTTCTAAATCTTGGTAGTTCGTCCAGTTAGCAAATAGCTTGATCAGATCACAATTCTGAACTAGTGGCCATTTAGACCCAATCCAGTTTTTATAGCAAAGCTTTCCTTCTTGTACTACAGGATTCCTGACGCTTTCATGTATATTTAAGTTTTTTGAGACTTGAGGCCTTTGCCCAAAATGAGGTATTTATTAGTGTCTGCCCCCTTGCCCAGTCTTTTTGGATATATTGACCTAATCTATTAGTGTGTTGAAAACTGGTTGGCTCTCGTATTGCTTTATTATAATTAATAGAATTATAAAAGTTTCATCTTTCTAGATGAGGATTTGAGTCTGTAGCTGGCACTCCTCTTTAAACTTGGTTACTTAGGATACACTTCAATACACTTCAAACTAATTTTCTTTCTAGTTAGTTTATGTAACCAAAATTGCCTGCCAGTTCTTCCTATTTTTAGTATATTTCTTTGTTTGGAGAGGGGAGGGGATCAGGTCTCTATGTATATTCTTTCTTGATGACGTGCAAAAAGTACACATCTATATCTTATAAATAGACAAGTAATTTAACTCAACTGTATGACTAAAAACATTGCCTTATTAAATCAGTAGTAACAGATTAAACATAACCCTTTTGTGTACCACTGGCATTTGGTGAACCTTGTATTTTTCTTGGTTTTGCTGTGTGTGTGTGTGTGTGTGTGTGTGTGTGTGCATGCTGGGAATTTAACCCAGGGCCTTGCATGTGCCAAACATAAGCTCTACCTCTGAGCTATACCCCCAGCCCTCTCTTTTCCTTTTAAGTCAACTGATAGCCTTTCATAAACTAAGTTTGTTCTCTTTTCTTGATGTTCAAATTTCCTTTGGGAACAGGCAAATGTGGTGGTGCATATCTGTAATCCCAGCACTCGGGAGGCTAGCCTGGACTATGTAGCAAGACTGTCTCAAAAAAAATTGTTCCTTAGTTGCTTATCGTGTTCATTCCTCTGTTTGAGCACTACCCCAGATATTCTTGAAAATATCTTTGCTCTCCAGCAACAATACCATGCTTCATTTCCTGTTCCTAAACATAAAGCCTACTATCTTGAGGTTCTTTTGAGTGGGGGACCCTTTTACTTAATTCATTGAACATCCAGTGGTTGCCTACTCTGTACCATATACTGTTCAGTTCCTGGGGATACAGCAGGGAACAAAACAGACCAAAATCTCTGCCCTCATGCAGCCAACATTCTAACCAAGGGAGATAGACAATAAACAAATAAAATGATATAGTGTGGTAAATGTTGACAGTGCTATGGAGAATGTTTCCCATAATGGAGATGGGAAACGTTGCCTGGGATAGAGCAGTAGAATGCTTGATTGGGTGTGGGGCGTGAGAAAAAGAAGCGTCTTGGGGCTGGAGATGTAGCTTAGTGGTAGAGTGCATACCTGGCCTGCCTGAGGCCCTAGCACTGCAAAAAGAGGGGAGAATCTAGGTTTTTGCTGAACAGTTGGAAGATTGGAGCTACCATTATCTGAGATAGAGAAGACACGGGAGGAGAAAATTAAGAGGGAAGAAGAGTTCTGTCTGGGACTTGTGAAGTATGAGATGCTTACTAAATGCTGAGGTGGATTCTTGAAGATATGTCAAGTCCAGGAGAGAGGTCTGGGCTGGCAATATAAATTTGGAGACATTAGTAATATAGATCAGTTCCTACTCCCTTTTTTATCTTTACATCTATCTTGTTGCCCTCTGTTTTTCACACAGTATTTAGTTTCATTTACCCTCAAACTGACTCCTACATCAGCAGATAGCTTAGCACAATAAAACTAGCATCCCTTATATTATCAAGACCCTGTGTGATCTAGCCTCTTCCTACCTCTTGGACTTTACCTTACAGCACCTCCCTTCATTCTCTTAATTTCTAACCTCTTAACTGCTTCTCAAAAAGCTCTTTCCTGCCTCTTGGCCTTTCTGTGGAAAAGACCTTTCTACTGTTTTAACTCTTACTTCGTTTTCAGTGCTTTCTCATTCTTCAGAAAGGCATTCCTTGCCTGGTGCCATTGGCTCACACATGTAAGCCTAGCTACTTGGGAGGTTGAGATCAGGAGGATTGTGGTTTGAGGTCAGCCCAGGGGAATAGTTCTCAAGACCCCCATCTCCAAAGTAACCAGAGCAAAATGAACTGGTGGTGTGGCTCAAGTGGTAGAGTGGCTGCTTTGCAAGTGCAAAGCCTTGAGTTTAAACTCCGGTCCCACCCAAAAACAAAACAAAAAAGCAGAAAGGTATTCCTTGACCCTTTGTATCCATGAGGATTCTTTGGGGTGAGCCCTGATCCAAACAGGCTTATACAAAAGGAATTGGCTGGTTTATATAACTTAAAGGTCAAGGGCTAGGGTGGTTTCAGACAACTCCAGCTTCCCACTTCCTTATGTATTGGCCTTTCCTTGAGTCTTTTTTTCTCACACCTGACATGCAACACTGATAAATGCTGTTGGCTTTTACCTTCAGTATACATCCTAAATCCAGTCATTTCTCATCACTCAACCACTGCCACTGTGGGCTGAGCCTCCATCTCTCCCCTGAACTATCCCTCCTCACTGGACATGCTGCTCCCAAGTTTGTTCTCCTTATTACCTCTCTGCTCCACAGCCAGATAGGATCCTCTTAAACCCTAGTCAATTTGCATCCCTCCTCTGCTTCCAACCCTTCCCTGGCTCTCCTCATTTAGCAATAAAAGCCAGGGTCTTTACCATGGCCTAGCAGGCTTAACACAATTTGCCTCCCTCCTTACCCCTCTCCCCTCACCTCTTAGAATTCCTCTGCTCTTATTCTTCTGCAACCACAATGGCCTCATGGCAATGTCTCAACATGCCAAGTACATTCCCACTTCAGTGCCTTTGTGTTGGATATCCCTTATGTGTGCAACACTCATCCTCCATATAGCGACAGTATTCACTTTGTTTTCTTTTTTATTCAGATACTTCTCGGTGGCCAGGCATGGAGACATACATCTGTAGTCCTAGTACTTAGGAGGCTGACTCAGGAAGATCATGAGGTCAAGGCCAGCCTGGACTACCCAAGACCCTGTCTAAAAAAAAAAAAAGCTTCTCAGCAGAGCAGTCCATCTCTGAACTCTATTTAAAATGAAGCCCCTATTCCTGTCCTCCCCAGTTCAATTTTTGCCTTATTTTTACAAACATCTAACATACCATATATTTTATTCCATCATTTATTTGTCTCTCTTAGCAAGAATTTGAGCTGTCTGAGGCTAGGATTTCTGTTTTTTGTGTTTCTATTTCCCCAGTGCTTAACATTTCCTGGCATACATAGGGATTCAATAATCTTTGCATCATTGGAGTCCAGGTGTTGGTCAGCCATTTCTGTGCAGGAACATCCTTGGTAGAAGTCGTCCAGAATGCAGGCAGTTCTGGAAGTGATGGGGAGCATCATAATCATAAGTGGGGCCCACTTTGCCCTTTCTTGTTTCTTTTCTGCAGGCTCAGCAACAGCCTCACCAAGGACTCCATGAATATCAAGGCCCATATCCACATGTTGCTAGAGGTGAGAGAAGCTCATTCTATTCCCATTCTATCTCCACATATGTTTAGTGTGGTGACCTGAAAGAGGGAGAAAGCCAAAGAAGGGAAGGATCTTCTTTCCCTCCAAATTGGAACCAAGGGAGGGGAGACCAGAGCAAGCCTGGGGGCGGGGTCTAGACCCAGCCTCTGTTCAGTCTCTTCTGTCTTCTTTTGCAGGGGCTTAGAGAACTCCAAGGCCTGCAGAATTTCCCAGAGCCAGAATCTCACCATTGACTGCTTCTTCCCATCCTCTGACATTAAAGAGCCTGAATGCCTCGAAGTCACATGGCCTTTCTTTTCTCCCTAACCCCTGTTGGTTGCCGAGGTGCTGGGTTTCTAGAGCACAAAGTTACTGGGAGACCCAGCGGTCCGGTTTCTGCGTAGAACCCTGTAAAGCACCCTGGAAGTCCTGCCTCCAGCTTTTGCCTGGCAGTATTTGCCACTTTATGCTTTGCCCATTTTTCTGTCACCTTGGCAACCTGGCCCCCCCCCACACACCCTTTCATTCCTTTTCCTGGACATCACCACCCTTTGAATAGAGAATGGGCCAGTTGAAGGTGGTTTGTTCCCACGACCACCAACCATTCACTACTGGTTCTAAGGCTTACCCTTCTCCCACACCTCAGTGGTTCCTCAGGTACCCTAAACATTCCTGCCCCTACCTCCTAAACAGTTCCAGCTTCCACCAATAAGCGCAGATCCCACCCCTAGCCCAGGTGGAGTCCAGGCTCCTCCTCCTTATAACAGGCCACAGCTCAACCCCTCCCTCTTTGTATACACTTAATTTCTACCACTCAGCTCTTTTTCGGCTCTGGCAGCCACCCAGTCCTCCAACCTCTGCTGCGTTCTAAATTCGTCTTTTCTAGCCAATCAGCTTAGAGTTACCCTGCCCGCCTACGCAGAGCCCAGCCCCACTCTCTGCCTGCTGGCTGCTACGCCCATTTCTATATATGTCCTGCTTCCGCTGAGCGGCATGGCGTGTAGCACCGCCTGCTTGGTGTTTTGGCAGTTGTCTAGGAGTCTCCGCCAATCAGCTGAAAGCGGGTCCCACCCACCCCCATCCTCCAAGGCTGTCGGTGTGCCATCAATCCTGTTTAGGCCAATCAGTGTGAGCTGAGTGCCCCCCCACTCAGCCTTGTCAATTGCCCACGGTCTATCAGTCCTCCCTGAGCCAACTAGCGTGGAGCACCAGTGAGGCCATGGGCCTCTTCTCCCGACTCTATAGGCCGTCCGCGGTCCATCAATTCCCTTTGGGCCAATCACCGTATAGCTCTGTGGAGCTGGCAAGTCCCTAACCCCCGCCAGCCTCCGAAGCTGAGCGGTAGCTCCTTGGCGTTTTGGCCAATCAGTGAGCGGCGGGATGCTCGGCTCCTCCTCCCATCCGGACCCACGTGAGCGGTGGGGAAACGCAGGGGCGGCTTCTAGGTGCCGCCGCCGCCACCACCGCCGCCGCTGCCGCCTCGGAACCCAGGCCTGGGGGGCGGTGGGGCTGCGTATGGAGCCCCCGCCCCCCGGAGCTGCCAACGCCGCCACCGCGCCACACACAGGTGAGTCCTGGGCCTGAAGGGTGGAGGGCACCGTCCGTGACCCCACGTATCCTTCCCGCCCCCGCGCGGAGGATGTGGCTTGGCCCGTGGCCTGCTGGTGTTGGACTCCCCACAGCCACCACCACTGCTAGTGGACCTGCGTGTGCATTGTTCCCTCCCTTGTAGTGGAGCTGATCGTGTCCTGACCTCCCTCTCCCGCTGTATAATGGATCGGTCTGCGATCTTATATTTCTCCCCACCCCAACTTACAGTGGAGTCGTCCGTGGTCTTGTTCATTCCCACCCCACCCCACCCCCACTTACAGGAGCCAGTCTGTGGCATTGGCCAACCCCCTTAATAGTAAGTGTGTGTAAGTGTTTATATTTCTCCTATCCTCAACTTTCAGGGGACCCATCTGTGGCCTTGTTTGTATTCCACCCCTTCTCTTCCTTGTAGTGAAACAATCCGTGGCACTGTAACCCTCACACCCCTCTTTATCAGTGAGTCCATTTGGGTATGTATTCTGGCCTCCTCAATACCTGCATCAGTCCATGGCCTTAACATCCCCCCAATCTTACATGGATTAGTCTGCATGCTGTGTTCACATCCCCCTAGTTAGCAGTCCATTCCTCTTAACTTTCCTCCCTTACTTGTAGACTCCAGCCCTTGTGCTTCTCCCAGCCTTCTAATAGCGGGTCCATTTAGTGCTTTATTTGATCATTTTCAGTAGCCCAGTCCATGGCCTTGTCCTGTTCTTTTCTCGTTTTAAGCATCGTGTCATGGCTTTTCTTCTCCTCCGCTATGGTTCAGGAGTCAGTAAGCTTTTCTGCTCTCTTTTCCTCTAGATGAGACATATCCCCCTCCCTCTGTAGTGGATCTATTCATTGGCTTCCTAATACTTCAGGGCTGGCATTCACAAACCCCGTGTCCTCCCATGAGTTCAGTGCTTGCATTTCCCATCTCTTTTCCCTGCCCCTCATCTCTTACTAGATCAGCCTGTGTACTTGACGCCAGGGCTTTTTGCTGTAGAGCACCCTCCCTTATGGACACTCTGAGCCACCAAGACATTCTGCCTCACTACAGTAAACAAATACATTAGTGATACTGATGGAAGTGCCAATAGGAACTAACATTTATTTAGCACCTGCTGTATACCAGAGTGTTTTCTATTCACCAGCTCTCTTACTCCTCATGACAACCTTGCGAAACAGGTACTGAGGAAACAGGGACATGGGAGGTTAAGTGTCTTTCTCAAAGGTGACCTCAGTAAGTACTCAGGTCACAGAAACGTTTTGAGGCACCCTCTTTCACTTCATTGCACCCCATATGAGGCCCCATTCCTTAAAAACCACATTAGTTCCCATCTCCAGGCTTTTCTTTCTTCTGTTCCTTCTGCCTGTAGAACTGTTTCCATTCCACACCTGGTCTCAGCACTCACTCACCCACCCCCAGTCCCAGCATCAGTGTGACCTTAGGTAAATGATTTAACCACTTTCTCCCTGCACCTGTTACCTCATTGCTAAAATGGGGGAGTCAGAACTAGAATCCCTTCCAGTGGTGGGGAAAAAAAGTACCTGTGAGTTCATAAAACAAGTCACCTCTCTGACCTTCCTTCCTTCACCTCCCCACCCCAGACCTGTGCTCCAGCCACACTGGCCTCCCCCTCACTGCTCCTCAAATACAGCAAACATAGGCCCACTTCAGAGCCTTTGCACTGGCTATTCTTTCTACTCCAGCACTCCTCCTGCATCTCTGCATGGGGCCTTGCAGGATCCTGTTCAAATGCCAACCTCTAAAGAATGTGTTCACATTGTGATCAGGGCACACACTACTTAAAGACACCTGTAAAGATGTTTCCAAGAATACCAGTTGATTTGTGTGTGAATAAGGTAAATGTTATCAAAAGGATGTGCTGACAGAAGGGTGATGTATGTAATACCCTCTGTAAATGCGCAGATAGAAAAGATGTTTCTAAGACTGCTCTCATTTCATTGCATCTGGAGAGTGTTATTTCAGTAAAGCATGTGTTTGCCACACTGTGGTGCTTGGAATATACTATATAAAGGCACATGTATAAAAATGTTTCTAAGGATGCTGTTTGTGTAAAAAAAATACTCAATGTCCCCCTGACTATATGATCCTGCACACCTAGCAGTTCTCAGGCCCCTTCCCTGCTTTGTTTGCCCCTTTGCTCTCTATCACTGTCTCACACACTGTACAGTTTGTGTATTGTATGTTTCTCCCCATTAGAATGGAGGGCCCGTGAACACTTACAGATTTTGTTGGCTTAATCACTGCTCTGCCTTCAGCACCTAAAAAATGTACCTGGTATACAGTAGGTGCTTAAGAAGAATTTATTGCATGAATAAATGGAGACAAATTATCTCAGACATCAGCATGGGCAACAGATGAAGAAGGAATAGGAGAACTAATTAAGATGTTAGTTAATACTGTTCAAATATTTACAGACATTTACTGAGTGCCAAGCATTCTTCTACATGCTAGAGATTGGGGAAAACAAAACAGGCAGGAATCCCTGCACTTGTGACGCACATATTTATTAAAAGCGAGGGAGCCGAACTACGTTAAAAAATAAATATGTAAATTAGTGTATTAGGTAAGTGCTAAGGAGAAAAAATAAAGTAAGACAAATAGGAATAGAGTATTGGGGTAGTTGAAATCTTTAGTAGGTATGAGGCAGGTCACACTTGGAGATGAGGGAGGGAGCCATAATAAGTGTACCAGACAGAAAGAACAGCCAGTGCAAAGGCCCTGAGGTAGGATTTACCTGCTGTGTTCAAAGAACATTAAGGAGGCCAGTGTGGCTGGAGCAGGGTGGGGGGAGGGGTAGAAGACGAGGTCACAGAGGCCATTGTGATACATAGGATTGAGGGAGAAGGATGACACAGAGCTTATGACTGGTATATTGCGGGTCTGCCATGTCCCAGAGATACTTTTCCACATCCTTTACATGTATTGACCCATTTAATACTCATAAAAGTCTTCGAAGGTAGGTATATTTTTGAGACTATTTTACTTTGAGAGTAAAATATCCCCATATTACAGATGAGAAACCACGCACAGAGAGCTTTACTAACTTGCTCCAGACCACACAGACAGAACAGAGCAGAGGAGGACAAGGCTGAAGGCCCAGAGAGAACAAATTAGCAAAGGCAAACAAGTTAGTACATTGGAACATGCAGAGGAAGAAGTAATTCTGCCTGGGAGTTACTGGAACTTGACTGGATGGGATAGCTTCCCCTCCCCCCAGGAAGAATAGCACATACCTCAGGTGGGAACTTTCCTGGGAACCTTGGGTAGCTCAGAGTGGCCACCTCAGAGCCTTTTGAATGCCCTTAGGGAACCCTGCCCCACTTATTGTGTGTAGAGTAGCATCCTTGTCACCCTCGAGGGTCCAACCTTCAGTGGTTCTCTTCATTGAGAACTGATGGTGTAGAATGGTTAAGAATGCTGACTGTAGGCAAACCACCTGAGTGTCAATCCCAGCTCTGCCAGCATCTAGCTGTGTGACCCGGGGCAAGTTACTTAACTTCTTTGTACCTCCATTGCCTCATCTGGAAAATGGGAAAATAATACCCATCCTTTAGTGTTGGTTTGAAGATTAAATGATTAAAACAGTGTGCAGAGCTGGGCATAGTGGTGCACACTTGTAATCCCAGTATTTGGGAGGCAGAAGCAGGAGGATCGTGAGTTCCAGAGCAGCCTGGGATACATATTGAGATATTGAGATCCTGAGAAAGAGAGAGAGACAGACAGACACAGAGAGAAACACTAGTGTGTAGCACACTGTAAGGGCTGCATGCCTGGGTTGTATTTTTTAAATTATTATTCATACTGTACCCATAGTATCTCATGAGTCTCTGAAACCAGCCTTCTGCTTACCCCTCAAAACCCATTCTCCCCCCACCCTCATGCTCCCATCTTAGTTGATCAGGCATCAAACCTAGAATCACTCCTGACTCCTCTCTCACCCTCACTCCCATGCAGTCTCAGCAAATCTATGCGCTACTTTCAGATGTTAGCCAGAACTCACTTCTTGGCCCTTCTGCTGCTGCCGTCTCTAACTTGGTCCATGACAGTAGCCTCTTCACCCCAACAGTCTGTCCCCACCATAATTACAGCCTGTCACCCTTCTTTACACAACCCTCTTGTGGCTCCTATCTCAGCTAGCATCCGAGTCCCTCCATCTGGTCTTGTGTCCTGCCCTCCCTGCCTTGCCCCCCTCCACCCAGCTGGCTTTACTTCTTTCCACCCTACTGGGCACTCAGCCTCAGAGCCCTTCACCTCCTCCTGCTCTTTGCTCCCGAGTCACTCCTCAGTGCCTGCCCTTGGAAAAAAGAACAGCTCCTTGGCTGCTTGGTTTTCCTCCCATAGCCCCTGTCAATGTCTGTCAGACTCTTGCCTACCTCATTTCTTATCTGTTTGCCCCACTAAGATGGGAATTCCATTAGAGCAGGTATATCCATGGCTGTCTCCCTGGCACCTGGCCCATCGATGGCACTCCATGAGTGCTTGCTTGGTGATAAATGAAGAGAAGTAAACTCGTCTGAGCAAGGCAGGTTGCAGGGCTCTTGTTAGGGGCCAACTGGGAGAATCCTGCAATGCTTTCACTCAGCTGATGGGCTCTGCTGCAGCTCAGAGGAACCAGTAGCAGTGCCTCTCTTCGCCACCAGGAGTCACACCAAACTCTGGGCATCCAAAAGAGGCTGCCTTCCCTATAAACTGAGTGAGGGCTCCCAGGCCTGGACTCTAGTCTGGCACTCCATGGCTTTCTGACTTGGACAGTTGCCTAAGACTGTGTTGTCTAAATGAGCTTGGAACTAGCTCTGACATAGGAGGATCATATTGTATATCTTGTTGCAGATTAAAGAATGAAACTATAAATAATTGAGGGAGGTTCTTAGAAACCATCTGATTTAGGTTTATTCTTAATCCAGCAATCCCAGCCAGGTGGACAGTTGATTGAATGAAGGTCAAACTCCCTCCCCAGGGAATAAGGCTCTGTTTTATTTACACTTTGCTCTTAGGAAAGAGCAGTGATGGGCTGGCTGGCTGACTGATGGGGAGGCATGCTCTGAAGGCCATGCTGAGAGGGAACATGAGTTGAGGCACATTGGTCTGATGGCTAAAAGCTTAGACCACTGGAAGCTGGCTGCCTGCATCCAAATGCAGGCTCTGCCACTTATGGCTGTGCGGCCTGTGAAAATCACTTGGACATTGTATACCTCAGCTGTCTCATCCATAAATTAGTGATAATAAGAATACGTACTTTCCAGAGTTGGCGTGAGGGATAAATGGGTCAATGTCTATAAAAATAACAGTCTGTGCCCTAATCCAAAACCCCCAGGGCCAGATGTGTTTCAGAATTTTGAATTTTTCATTTAGAAAGGTAGCATGGTGCGCATAGGATATGTTACATAACACTCTCAGCCAGCTCTGTCATCAACTACTTTCAGATTTCTGCAGCAGAATGCGTGAACATCCACACTAGGCAAGGGCCAATAAAGACCAGAAAGGGCCTTGTTTTGTTTCACATCTGGTTTTGCTACCAAAAGAATTACAAACGGATAAGGAATTAGAAACTAATTATTTGCTTAGAGTTTATCATGCTCAGGGCATATTATATTTAATCCACACCGTGATAATGATTAATAATCCCTATTTCACAGATGATAAAATTTGAGGTACATAGAGGTTAAAGAATATGCCCAGTGTCAGTCAGCTAATAACTGGCAGACCTAGGATTCAAACCCTGGAAATCTGGTATTAGAGCCTGGGTGATTATCCTGTAGGCCAGATTGCCTCTCTTCTTAGAGCAGTGCCTGATATGTATTAAGCGGTCAATAAATGTTACTGCTGTGATCAAGGAGACAGGCTGAAGGTGTAGCTCTGTGGTAGAGTGTGCTTAGCATGAACAAGGGCCTGGACTTGATCCCCAGCACTACAAAAAGAAAAAAAAGGAAGGGAGGGAGGAGAGGGGAGGGGAGGAGGAGAAGGGAGGAGGGAAGAAGGAAGGAAGAAGGAAAATAAACAGGGACAGTCACAGATCAGATCAGGAGTGGGGGAACTCAAGAGAGCAGGTATTCAGATTCAGAATGCTTCGTAAAGGAAAGGACTGTTGGGCTGAGACTTGAAAGATGAGGAAAACAACTCAGCAGAGGAAAGGGAGTCCCACGTGCAATGAACAGCGTGTGCAAGGGTCCGCTAAAAAGCCATCTCCTAAAAAATGTGACACTGCTGTGGTAGAAGATACCAATTATAAGGGTCTGTGAGAGGTATTGCACTAATTTTTTAGTCCAGCTGTAACACATTATCTCAGGCTTAGCTACTTAAAACAACACATTTTTCTGGCTGTGATGGTACACACATGTAACCTCAGCACTCGGGAAGCTGAGGCAGAATTGTGAGTTTGAGACTAACCTGGGCTACATAGTAAGACCCCATCTCAAAAAAATTATCTGATAGTTCTGTAGGTCAGAAACCCAACTCTGGTCTCAGCAGGCTAAAATGAAGGTATTGGTAGGGCTGTGGTTCTTTCTGGAGGCTCTAGGGTAGACTCATTCCTGCTCATTCAGGTCATTGGCAGAATTCAGTGTCTGGAGTTGTAGGACTGAGGTTCCTGATTACTTGCTGGCTGTCAGCTGATTGTTGTTCCCAGCTTTAAGAGGCTGCCCACGTTCTTTGGCTTGGATCCCCTTCCTCTGTTTTCAGTCAGTGATAGCAGATTGAGTCCTTTCACACTTCGAATCTCTCCTGCCTCATCTGCAGTTCCATCTTTGAGCTCTCCTTCTTTCTCACTCTGCTTTTAAGAGCTCTCATGGTTAAATTGAACTCACTCAAATAAATCAGCATAATCTCCTTTCTTAAGGTGTGTAACCTTGCTTTCATCTCGAAGTTCCTTTTTGCTCTGTAGCATAATATACTCAAAGGTTCCAGGAATTAGGATATGGACATCTTTGGAACCTGAGTGACTATGCCAACCACAGTCTTCCCCTGCCCTCTGCCACTATCCAGATTCACATTTGCCTCACTTGCATAATACACTCACAATCTTCATATCCCATTACAGGGGACATCCAGAGCTGGACTGGGGAGCTTAGAAGTTTGTTTGAGAGTGTTTAGAGAATAGTGGTAAGGTCTGGGAACAAGATGACAAGAAAGGAATCCTCTTGCTGTTCCCTGCCACATCCTCTGTCCATAGCCTCTCAGTCTGAGCTGTCTGCCCTTCAGGTACTCCTGGGATGGCGTGAGCGCTCGCCCAGCGATGGACCCATCTGTGACACTGTGGCAGTTTCTGCTGCAGCTGCTGAGAGAGCAAGGCAATGGCCACATCATCTCCTGGACCTCACGGGATGGTGGGGAGTTCAAGCTGGTAGACGCAGAGGAGGTAGCCCGTCTATGGGGGCTGCGTAAGAACAAGACCAACATGAATTACGACAAGCTCAGCCGGGCCTTGCGTTACTACTATGACAAGGTAAGGCCTTTGACACCAGGGCTGGGACCCCCTGAAATTTGTATCAGAAATTTCATTTTTTTCATCTTCATTCCTGTAGTGAGAACTTTGAAAATAGTACTAAAAGTTACCATTTCTTTTCTTTCTTTTTTTGGGGGGAGGGGGTGATTCTGCAGTTTGAACTCAGACCCTTGCACTTACTAGGGAAGGAACTCTACCACTTGAGCCATGCCCCTAGCCCTCTTTTGCTTTAATTATTTTTTTTCAAATAGGGTCTCATGCTTTTGTTCAAACTAGTCTGGACTGTATTTATACCTCCTGTGTAGCTGGGATGACAGATGCACACCACCACACCCAGCTTATTGGTTGAGATGGTGTCTCACCAACTTTTGCAGTCCTCCTGATCTCCCCTCCTGATTAGCCGGGATTACAGTCATGAGCCACTGTATTTGGCCAAAATTTGCCGTTTCTTATCTCATCCTCTGGTACACTCAGACCAATGTTGAGTCCCCAAACGTTTATCTCTGTTGCTTTATTTCCTTGTCTTACTGCTTTGGCTCAGACCTTTACAGCGGTATTAAAACCGTCTCCTTATCCCCTCTCTGAGATTCCCCAAGCAATGCTGACCTGCCATTCCCTGCAGATTTCATTCTTGTCACTTATTCTTATTGCCAAAACTTTGAAAGCATTGTTAGTAATGACTAGTCCTTACTGTGTTCCTGAAACCCTTAGACCTGTGCTGGGCTCCCCCAGTTATTTCATAATTTTCTCTTACTCCAGAACATTCTACATTCTTCTTTCTTAATTTTTTATTTTATTTTTGATTTATCATACATTTTTAATAATACAAGGGGATTTCATTGTGATACATTCTACATTCGTAATCCTAATATCAAAACCCACCTTGACAGTGTTGTACTAACCCTTTCCTTACTTTAGTCTCTGGAACCCCTAATGTTTTTATCAGTTATTTTCCTTTCTTATTCCTTTAGCAAAAGCCTCTAGAAGAGCATATGTAATGCCAGCTCCACACCCCATCCTCTTAGATTCCCATAGCAACACTGGTCCTTCTCAATATTTATTTCAGTTGTTTTATTTCATTGCCTATTCCTACAGCTAAAATTTTAGGTTTTCCTTCTGTCTCCTCAGTCTCTCAGACCACACCTGGATTTTTTCTCCCCCCAATATTTATACCAGTTATTACTACCTTCATGTAAACATCCAAAACAATGTTAACGAATATCTCCCTTCATTCCTTTTCTGAGAAACACAAGATCTTATCCAGCATTAAGATCTTCCCCCAGAATTCCCTAGTGCCCCCCCCCCCAGCCCTAGACCTGTGTTTCATGTCCTTAATAATTTATGGCATTCACTCTATTTTCATATTCCTTTAGTTCAAACCTACTTAACAGTATTAATGAGGCTACCTCATTCTGTTCTCTGAGGTCACCAGAACATCCCTGAGACCTTCCAGACCAGACATGTCCTGAAATACCTCCAAACATGTTCTGGAAACCACCTAAGCCAGCTTTGAGGTCCTCCTCCCAGTATTTATACTGACACCTTAAATGTTCCTGTCTGGTTGCTGTCAGTTACTTCATTTTCTTAGTGCTTTAACTTAAATCGCCACACCAGGATTTATAATGAGACCTCACTCTGTCCTTGGTAGTGACTTGCCATGTTCCACATCTGTGTGAATAGCTTAAAATAATCCTTTATATGAATGGTTCAGCCTATTCATCTACACTAATTTAGTCTCTTCTAATATTTATATCAGGTACTTCATTTTCCTGTCTTAGTGCACTAGCTAGTCTGCAAAGCCCTAATAATCCCTGTTTCTTGGTCCTCATCTACTCCCCTAAATAGGAAGTGGAGCCATTGGGGGTCAGGGAATCAGGCAGATGGCTATGAAGAGTGACAGGAGACTTTGAGGGATTTGGATGGAAAGGAGACTAAAGAATTGAGGAGGGGAAGGAAGTGGAGAGGGGAACAGAGATGGGAATCTGGGGGAAAAAACGGGAATCAGAGAGAAGGGTGAAATGCACAAGTTGAAAAAGACATGAGCAAAGTGGGAGCAAGTAGGAAGAAAGACCCCTCAATACCTTCCTAACACCCTGTCCGTTTCCTCTAAGGCCCTTAGTTCTGTTTCCTCCCTTTCCAGAATATCATCCGCAAGGTGAGCGGCCAGAAGTTCGTCTACAAGTTTGTGTCCTATCCTGAGGTTGCAGGGTGCTCCACAGAGGATTGTACACCCCAGCCTGAGGTGTCTGTCGCCTCTGCTGTGGCCACTGTGGCCCCCGCTGCTATACATGCTGCCCCCGGGGACACTGTGGCTGGAAAGCCAGGCACACCCAAAACTCCAGGAATAGCGGGCCCAGGCGCTCTGGCACGCAGCAGCCGGAATGAATACATGCGCTCCGGCCTCTATTCCACCTTCACTATTCAGTCCTTGCAGCCACAGCCACAGCCACCCCCTCATCCTCGGCCTGCCTCGGTGCTCCCCAACATCACCCCTGCAGGAGCAGCAGCGCCCCCCTCAGGCAGCAGGAGCGCCAGTCCAAACCCCTTGGAGGCCTGCCTGGAAGCAGAAGAGGCTGGCCTGCCTCTGCAAGTAAGTACTGGAATATGGAAATTAAGTAAGGAGGTTGAAGAGGAATGAGACACGGGACTGGTGGGAGAAAGGACACAGAAGTCCTGTTAGGCGGGCTCCCCCGTAACTCACACCTGTATCCTTAGCTACTCAGAAGGCAGAGATCAGGAGGACCGTGGATCAGAGCCAGCTTGGACAAATAGTTCCCGAGACTATATCTCAAAAACACGCAACAGAAAAACGGCTGGCTGGCAGAGCTGCTCAAATGGTAGAGCACCTGCCTAGCAAGTGTGAGGTCCTGAGTTCAAACCGCAGTACCACCAAAAAAAGTCCTGTTAAAGGACATAGTGGTGGAAGGAGGGCCACAGAAGTCTGTCTGTAGAAAGAGGTGGGAGGAGTTATGCAAAACCTGAGAAGAAAGAGGGAAAGTCTGATGCAGTTAGTAGTAACTCAACATGTAGTAAGTGCCCTTGAATGTATTTAATACACTGGTTCTCACCCTTTAGCGCTCATCAGAATCACCTGGACGGCTCGTTAAGCCACACATTGCTGCGGCCCACACCATTTCTGATTTGTGTGGGTCTAGGGAGGGGCCCCAAACCTTGCATACTTAATGAGTTTCCAGATGAAGCAGATGCTGCTGGTCTGTAAATTTTGGAGAACCACTGTTCTCCTGAATGAGGGTGGTCTCCCCTTGGGTTCAGCTCCCATCCGATTGTCTCACACCAGGTCCCTTGCCCCCAAGAGGACCTGTCCCAGAGGAAGGCCCCCTCCGTGAAGTCCTGTTGGAGGACATTGCCCTGATGTACAATCATCCCCCCAAGTGCCATATCCCGTCTTCCTCGGGAAATAATTGGCTAGTCCACGGGAGAAAAGTTCTCTACCCCAACAATCTTTATGCATCCCCTCTGTGCCCACTCCTCTCCCAGGTCATCCTGACCCCGCCCGAGGCCCCAAACCTGAAATCGGAAGAACTGAATGTGGAGCCAGGTCTGGGCCGGCCACTACCCCCAGAAGTGAAAGTGGAGGGGCCCAAGGAAGAGTTGAAAACTGGAGGGGAGGCGGGGTTTGCGCCGGAAACTATCAAGGGTGAGCCGGAAGTCCCTCCCACGGAGGGCTTGCTGGCGCGGCTGCCCGCAGTCCTTACGGAGTCTACGGCACAGGTGGGCACCCTCTCAGCCTCCACCACCGAGATCGCTCAGCCGCAGAAGGGCCGAAAGCCCCGGGACCTGGAGCTTCCACTTAGCCCAAGCCTGCTGGGTGGACCAGGACCCGAACGGACTCCAGGATCAGGAACTGGCTCTGGTCTGCAGGCGCCAGGGCCGGCGCTGACGCCGTCTCTACTACCTACGCATACATTGGTGAGTGCCTACGAAGGGTGTGGCTGGCAGCCAGAATAGGCAGAATTGGCGCGTGGCAGGTGACTGACAGGAATTAGAGGAGGGCGAATGTGGTTGAATTTGAAGAGGGTGGAGCCTTCGAGCCTGATTGGCTGGGCTGGGGCTTGGGCTGGAGAGATGGGGACTTTGAGGGGCGGGACTGAAGGAGTCCAGAGACTTTCTGTGGCCACTGTTTCTAGGTAGGCAGGACTGAAGGAACCTGAGCCAGGCTTTGGGGTCTGAGATTTGCTTATGGGGGAACCTAAGAATTGGAAGTTGACCCTGAGCTGTTGGAATGGTCACTTGTGAGGTTTGAGAGCCGCAAGTAAATAGAATGTGGTGGGTGGTCTTGCCCAGTGAGGGCTCAGCAACTGGAGGTAGGCTCTAAGAAGTTGGGAGGGTGTGTGTGTGTGTGTGTAGAGTTTGAGAGATGTCATGGGCATAACCTTAGTAGTTACATCTAGATCTGTGAACTTTTGAAGTGATTGTGGAAATCTGAGTGAGAAATAGATTGTGGGGCTGAGGCCAAGTTCCTTCCATCTCCCCACACCTGTCTTTTGCTCACTTGAGCGCTGACCACCCCTTTCCCACAGACCCCGGTGCTGCTGACACCCAGCTCGCTGCCCCCAAGCATTCACTTCTGGAGCACCCTGAGTCCGATCGCGCCCCGTAGCCCGGCCAAGCTCTCCTTCCAGGTAGGATCCTCTCGCACCACTTGGAGAGGGTGAGAGGTGTTAGTGTGGCCCCCATCCTTGACCTCTCCCTGTTTCTGCCCCCAGTTTCCATCCAGCGGCAGCGCACAGGTGCACATCCCTTCCATCAGCGTGGATGGCCTCTCGACCCCCGTGGTGCTCTCCCCAGGGCCCCAGAAGCCATGACTGCCACGACCACCCCCTTCTGGGGTCACTCCATCCATTCCCCTGAACTTCCCTCCAGCCAGCCATCTCAAGGATACACATTGTTCAGCTGACAAACTTGTACTGTGGTTGTGATAGGGTGGGGATTTTTGGGAAGAAGGGTCTCTCACTAACTCGTCCGCTGAAAACACACACTTCTCTCCTTTGTCAGTTCCCCAGTGGCCGCCCTTACGCGTCTCCTACTTTCAGTGGTGGGGCGGTTTATTTATTTATTTTTTGAAGGCCACTGGGAGGAGTCTGACTTAACCTTTTTAGGAGGTGGTTAAGACATCTCCTCCATCTCCCCACTTTTTTCCCCAATACAAGACAATCGGGGTCTGGCATGAGAAGGACTTTTCTTTATTTATTTCTCAGCCTGCCCTTGGGGAGATGAGGGAGCTCTGGGGTGTGGGTAAGAGAACTAGTTTATTTTGTTTTATTATTCCTGGCCATATCTAAGGGTCCAGGAAGAATTTATATGGTTTACTGGCTTGGAAGCCTTAGTCAAGGAAGAATCACCCCCTTGGAATAGGCATTTCCACCTCCTCCACCTTTCTCTCAGACAGCTTGTCCTTTTCTCAGCCAACATTTTGGCCAGGGAGGAACAGTTCCCTTTTGTTCTTCTCCCCCGAGAAGCCATTCCTTTGTCTGCCAAACTCCCTGGGGTCCTGCCTGTTACCTCCCAATGGAGGGTTTCTTTGGGGGTTGGTCCCCGTCTGGGGGGCCCCTCTAGCCAGTACTCCAGGTCTCCCTGTGTCCCACCCCCTGCCATTTTGATAGTATAATCTATTTTTAAATGGGGCTTTTCAATAGGGGAAAGGGAGGCATCTCTTCCTGTATCTGATGGGTGGGTGGGTGGGAAGGAAGGGGTTTGGGGGTTAATCTTCCTGCAGCCCCCAAGTGTTTATTTTTGATACCGAACATGTATTTTCAGCTCCCTCCCTCCCAGCCCCCCAATTTCCTGCGGGCGGGTACAAAGGACCCTTTAAGTGTCCCTGGAGTTGGGAGGGAGGAATGGGGGACATAAAGCCGGTCTTCTCTAAATTCTAGGCTAGTGAATGTGGGTTCAAAAGACTCCTGGGCTCACCTCCTGTCAGCACTGGCCCAGCCCAGGCCTGGAGACCTGAAGGTTGGTGATTTTGGGGGACGGTGCTACACTCGTCTCCACTGTTTTACTTCCCCAAAATGGACCTTTTTTTCTAAGAGTCCCAGAGAATGGGGAATTGTTCCTGTAAATATATATTTTTAAAGGTGTTGATGAAGGCTGCTGGCATTTTTTCCCCTAACGTCGTCCAGACGAGCTGAGTGTGAAGAGCGATGAGGGCGTGAGGTAGAGGTTAATTGTGAGAGAAGCAGCATGATGGCATGTGTCAGAAGCAGTAGTAGACACTGCTGATTGATAACTGGTGTGGTGAGAAATTGGAGAATTGTGATTGTGTGTGTATGTGTGCTAGCAAGACCAGAATTGTGACCACAAAATTTGAATGTGTCTGTGAAAAACTGTGACTGTGTTGCAGAAACTCAACTAAGACTGAATGATTGAAATACTGTGCCAAGAGCTAGGCATGGTGGTTCACGCTTATAATCCCAACACTTGGGAGACTAAGGCAGGAGGATTGAGAGTGGAAGGCCAGCCTGGGCTATATAGTAAGACTGTGTCTACAAACAAACAAAAAGATGCTGTAGAAGGCCCTGAAATGGTATGTACCAAATATTGTTTAGGAGAAAGGAATGGGGACTACAGATTGGTCAGTGTTTGACATGATTGATGGCGAACAAGATAGACTAAGTGACCAAAACCATGTATGAGAGACCATGTGGACGGGAAACTGATGGAGCTTGTTAGGCACCATGTGTAGTTAAGAAATCTCACTATACCTAAGCAGCAACTCAGCATTTGAGAACTGGCTTGTGACTGAAGTGTCAGCTGAAATCATGGGCGTGTACATGTGAGAAGTTGATAGTGTGACATAAAGTGGCTATGAGCCTAAGAGGTTGACTAAAACCCAAGATACGAGAACATGTATGAAAACGTTTCATGAGACAGTGGTAAAGACTGGGAGAAACAGAATGGCTGTAGCTAGGGGAGTTTGAGAGGCTGTGATTGTGTACATATGTGTGCAAACCTGAGACTAGTGGCAGACTGTGGACAGATGCAACTACAGTCTCTCCACAAGTCCTGGTTAGACTGAGGGATCAAAACACCTCGAAAAGGCCGCCGAACTGTGCAGGAGAGAAAAGAGAACCATTCATGCTCCCAGCGATACCAAGGTTTGAAGTCATTGACTGTCGGAGAGAAACTTGACAACCTAATGGTGTCAGAATATGAGAGTCCATGAGACATGTCATAAAACTAAATCAGAGACCAGGAGTTCGTGAAAAGAAAAGCAGAAAATGAGACTGAGCCAATGAGACACTAAGCGACCAGGGTGGGTGAGAAACTTGCAAGGCCATAATTGTGCACACATGTCTGTGACAACATACCATATGATGGTGTTCACAACTGATGGGGACAAGAGAGACTGACTGTGAGAATTATCAAGAGCCTAGTAGCAATTGGGAATTAGTGGCCGAGTATATCGGAAGTGGGCTGAGGGAAAATGATGGCGAGACAGAATGAGCGAGTGAGCCAGTTTCTGAGAAACTGATTGTGTGCATATCTGTGAAATGCTTTGCCAAAGAGACCTTATTAAAGGCCGTGACTCAAGGACTCGGTGGTAGAAGCTGATTGAAAGGAAATGCGGGACTAGGTGAGGAAGACACTGACTGAGACACTACGATCATGTGTGCGTGTCCTCGGAAGAGACTAAGAGGCTATAATCGGGAACCCTTAAGGGTGTGAATAAGTGGCTTAAGTGAGAAGGAAAAGGAAAGAGTGATTTTTGTGTGTATGAGAAGCTTCATGAGAGACTAGTTAGTGGTGACTGAAAAATAGCAGGCCAAGTGAAGTGGCTCTTGGTATGAGATGGTGTGACCGTATTTGTGTGTATGTGAAGAACTGCTGAGAGAAAGTACTAGCAGTATTGACCTAGTGAGACAGGCTGTAAAACATGATTGTGTGTGTGAAACTGTTAGTAGAGGCTGTAGTGAGGCTGGAGGATCAATGGCAGAGAAAATGACTTCCTGATTGAGTGACAGTGTCAGAGGCTGTGTGATCAAGTATGTATACAAGCCTGTTCATAAGAGACTAGATGCTGGCCATACAGAAGTGTGTGTGTGTGAATAGAAGTTAAATAAGTAAAATGTGAGAGAAAATGACTGAGCCTAATTGAGACAGAGTCTGAGAGACCACAGATTGAACAGGCCAGGCCTAGGAGAAAAGCCTTTATCTGTTTGTCCTCTCCCTGCGCAGACACCTGCTTAGCCCCCTGAACTAGCTTTTCTCAGTTCTCTAAAACTTGAAATGTTTGGGTTCCCCTGGGCTTTGCCTGGGACTTCCTTCTCTTGTACCCTCTAGAGAGGGTCTTAGCTGCTCCCAAAACTTGAAATATGATTTACTCAAGATGATGCCCCAAGTTTTTATCTCTTAACTCATACTGTTCGCGATAGCCCTTAACAGAATCTCAAGTCTTGTTTGTTTCAGTTAGTGAGTCATTCAGTATCTAATGTCCCAAAGACCCAGCAGCTGACAAACAAAAGAAAACCTGCCATTGCCAGGCATGGTGACACATGCCTAAAATCCCAGCTCTCAGGAGACTGAGGCAGGAGGATCATGAATTCAAGGACAGCTTGGGTTGCATTGTGAGACCTTGTCTCAAAAAAGAAAAAAAGTACCCTTGTGGAGCTGATACTCAGTGAAGGAGTCTGACGAGAAAGATAAATACATGATATCAAGCAGTAATGTAATAATTAAATAAGACCAGACTCTCACTCTTTGTTTGAATCAGGAGCCTGCCAAAGCATGTGAATACCTAAATGCGTATGGGAGAAAAAGTGCCGACAGTCCTCATCCACAGGGAATCCTGGGAGTAGTTATGCAGTTTAGAAACAAAGGAAATATTGATTATAACATTATTACCAAGGCAACAGGTGATTAAAACAACCAGGCAGAATTGCAAGCTTCTTGGGGAGTTTGTTTTCACAAGATAACAGCACCAACAGCTGAAGTCTTAGAGTCTTAACAAGACCCCTTTGTTCAAAGCACACATTCAGACACAGGCTTATGTTCTCAGAGAACATACGACATCTGTAACGGATACCAGAAAACAAGAGCAGCATTCTTGAGGAACTTCTGTTTTAACCCCTGACCAAACTCTTACCTTGTTTTAATTTGTATGTAGAATGGTATTTCTTTCTCCATGAATGCAGGAGACATGAGGCATTACCTTTTCTTTCTGTCTCAAGTTCTTTTTTTTTAATTTGTTTTTTTTTTGTTGTTGTTGTTGTACTGAGGTTTGAACTCAGGGCCTCACGTTTGCTAGGCAGGCACTCTACTACTTGACCCACTCCACCAGTCCTTTTTTGTGTTGGGTATTTTCGAGATAGGATCTTCCAAACGATTTGCTCAGGCTGGCTTCAAACCTTGATCCTCCTGATCTGTGCCTCCTGAGTAGCTAGGATTATAGGCATGAGCCACTGGCACCCAGCTCTCAAGTTCTTTTTGGTTAATTAAAAATACTGTTTTCATTTACTTATTTTTGCATTAAGGGGGTGGGGCCTAGGGTCTCGCAAATGCTAGGCAAGCACTCTACCACTAAGCTACACTCCAACCCAATTGCTTTTTGTTTTTTGACACAGTGTTTCCCTGTGTCACACAGGTTGGCCTCAAACTGACAATCCTCCTGTCACAGCCTCCTGAGTGCTGAGATTATGGGTGTATGCCCACACACCCAACCTAAGATTTCTGTTTTTAAAGCAGGCTCTGGAATTTCACTCATCAGAGCCTATGAGAAAAGAAAATAGTAGGTCTGTGGAGCTCACGTTTACCTACAAGGTAAAAGGCTAAAGAGGAATTACTAAACAGTGAAACAAGGAGCATGTAAAGTTGTTTTCTCTAGATGAGACCCACAAAAAAAAGAGGGATCAGGGACTAGAATGGAGGCATGGTGGCTCTCTAAGTGTGGTACCCGGACCTGCAGTATCAGTGTCACCTGGGAGCTTGTTAGAGATGCACATTCTGGGGCTGGAGGCGTGACTCCAGTAGAGCACCTGCCTAGCAAGTATGAAGCCCTGAGTTCAAACCCCAGTACTGCCCCCCCAAAAAAGAAAGCACATTCTAGAGCCCCACTCCACACCTGCTAGGTCAGAAACTGGGGTGGAAGCTAGCGATCTGCAATTTTACCAAGCCCTGTGAGTGATTCTGATGCACACTGGGCTAGGGAGTGGCAAGGATGCCATCCAAGAAGACTGGCTGGGGAGGGCCCTCGTGAAGGGGTTGATGTTTATTGCCTATCTCTCATTGTAGAGGTAAGTCCTCTGGGGACCAGGATTATTGTCTGTCCTGTTCTCTGTTCCTTCTATTTCCAAGAACTGCATCTGGCATCCCATAGGTGCTCAGTAAACCTTGAACAAAGCCAAGCATGGTTGTACCTGTAATCTCAGCACTCCTGAGATTGAAGCAGGAGGAGAATCTCAAGTTCAAGGTCAGCCTAAGCTACATAGTGAGTTCCAGACCAGCTTGAGCCACATAGTAAAACCCTGTCTCAAAAAAAATGTTAGATTATTAAACAGAGCACCTACAGGCACTGTTCTAAGTACTTTTAAAAATCTTAACTCCCAGTCTTTGCAGCAAACCTGACCGTAGGTGCTGTCTGTGTGCACATTTTACAGAGGGGGAGATAGGCCCAGGGAGGGGGATACCTGCCCAAAGTACTCTGATGGAACATGACCCAGCCAGTTCCCCTCTCCACCCCACCTCAGCCCCTAAAGGTGAATTCAGCTGAGCCTCCCAGGGTGCCCAGAGTAGTGGACAGCCTTAATTCCACCCCCTTCTGAATCCCTCCCCACACCATGCCACTTCCCCTTCTTACTTCCCTTGTGTTGTCCCCACACACACACCCACACCCACACACATACATACTGACCTCAGGAAACCTCACTTTTAGGAAAGAAGAGGTCAGGGTTAAGTGAGGATGGAGGAAGAAGCAATTTCCTCAATGTCTTCACCATCTCTAAGAAGGGCCACATTCATTTCACTTGTTGAACATGCCTGTGAGGTTGACCTTGTCACTTTGGTCAAGATCAGGCATTTTACAGATAATGAAATGAGGCTCAGGGAGGTTGAAGTGACTTGCCCAACATCACACAGCTAAGAAGTTCTTGCTTCAAAGGGCTGGAGGCAAGGCTCAAGTGGTAGAGCACTAGCCTAGCAAGTGTGAGGCTCTGAGTTCAAAGCCCAATACCACCAGAAAAAACCAGTTCTTCAAATTCTCAGGCTCCATTGCCCTTCCAGTGAGATTTTGTTCAGGGGCATTGATTGAGCACTACAAGTCTGCTGAACTAAATGGAGCATGAGGTGCTGGAGGTTGGGTGACAAAGAAAACAGGACCAAGGGTGACACAGGAAATGGAAGAGGGAAAGAGGAGGAGGCAGAAGGGACAAGGGAGAGGTTAGAGCTGAAGAGGCCTGCATGATACCCTCCCAGTTCCTCCTGCCATAGGTTCCTCTTTCTGGAAGCTGGTCAGCCACATAAAGCCTGGCCTCCCCTCTGCCAGGGGTACTAGGGTGCAGTGCTCAACATGACTGCTCAAGTGCAGGTTCTTCAGCTGCTACCGCTGCTGCTGTTGCTCACCCTGCCAGCCACAGGTGAGTGGGGTGAGGGCCCAGCTATCCCTAGGGACACCCAGCCTCATCATGCCCCTGACCATCCCCCTTCCACGGTCCTGTTACAGGCTCAGACCCCGTGCTGTGCTTCACACAATACGAGGAGTCCTCTGGCAGGTGCCAGGGCCTGCTGGGGGGAGGTGTACGTGTGGAGGACTGCTGTCTCAACGCTGCCTATGCCTTCCAGGAGCATGGCAGTAGGCTCTGCCAGCCATGCAGGTTCGGGGGAGCTGGGCTGGGGGAAGGCCAAAAGGACTGTCACCCAGAACTTGGTTCACTCTTTCTTTGGGACTTCCAAGGGTAGCCTCTGAGCCCCTGATCATGACCATAGCACTGTTGTCATTTGGAGCTGGAAAATTCTTTGCTGGGGATATGGGTGCTGACCTGTGCATTGTAGGCTATGTTGTAACATTGCTGGCCTTCCCCAAGGTACTGGTAGCAGCAACTCCCCCCACCAGTTGAGACAATCAAAAATATCTCCAGACATTGCCAAATGTCCCTGGGGTAGAGGCAAAAATCAGCCCTGGTTGAGAACCACTGTCAGTGCTTCCTGTAAGCATTACAGGTAGGGTGCAACTCAGGTGTTTCTAAAGAGAACTCCAGTCCCCTAATTGTGATGACAGCTTATGTTTATTGAGTGCTTACTGTATATAGACACACTGTGGGACAGGAGGGTTGGGGAATTCTGAGGGCAGTGCCTGGCCCCTAATTATGACAACACGTCACCTTCACTGAGCATTTGCTCCGTACTAGACTCATTGCCGGGGATGGGTGGCAACTTGAGGATCCCTGAGGCTACCTGTCATCTCCTAATCATGATTTCTGGCTTACAGCCCTCACTATTCCAGGTATACTGTGGGGATGGGGGACTTGGGGACTTTTGAGAGCAGCTGTGGACCCCTAATAGTGTCAACAGTTAATCTCTTTTAGCGTTGGCAGCGTACCTGGTACTATGTAGGGGGTTAAGGATCCATCTAGGGTATTTTTGAGGGGCGTCTGAGCTCACTGGGATGATGGCTCTTATTTACTAAGCACTTCCTGTCTGGCTGCTACCATGCAGGATGACAACCTGTTGGGTTTCTGGCAACGTTTCTGGGCTCCTCATCTTTACATTTGCTTACTGTGACCCTGGCTTTGTCCCTGGGGGATTTCCAAGGGTAACTCCAGGGCCCTGGTCATGAAGGGAAATGACATTTATTCAAGCACTTCCTGCATTTCTGCCTCTTCCTCCAGTCCCCCAGCACCCTAAGTGGTAGAAACTCATCCTTCTCATTAACCCAGCACCCCTCCTGTGCTTACCCGTGCTTTGGAGTCCCACAGACCATCCTGTCAGTTCACAACAGGATGGGACATACGCTCCTCTCTACAGGTCCCCACGATGGTCACCATGGTCCTCCTGGGCTCCCTGCTCGGTGACGTGTTCTGAGGGGTCCCAGCTGCGACACCGGCGTTGTGTGGGCAGGGGTGGGCAGTGCCCTGAGAAGGCGGCTCCTGGGACACTTGAGTGGCAGCTACAGACCTGTGAGGACCAGTCATGCTGTCCTGGTGAGGATCAACGAGGCGGGTGCACACTTCCTGTCACTCAGTGCCTGGAACCAGAAGAATCAGTGCAGAGGCCCTGAGGGTGGGCCTTTGCCTGATGCTGTGAGAAACTGAGGAGAAGGCTAGAGTGGCTGAAGGAGGGGGTGGGAGGTAAGGACATTGGCTTCTGAGTGATTGAGATGGTGGGCAGGGGAGAAATTCCATTCGACTTGGTTTGGGAAAAGGACAGACTGTGCCCGAGGGGTGAAAGCTACTGCCATAGTCCAGATGAGTAGTGGTGGTGCGCCAGGTATATGGGGACAGAGGATGTGGGGACAGGATTAGCTGATGTGGGCCACATAAGGAAGCAAGAAATCCTAAATGTGACTTCCAGTTCTATCCTATGCCTCTATTTTCTCTCCCACAGAGATGGGTGGCTGGTCTGGGTGGGCACCCTGGGGGCCGTGCTCTGTCACCTGCTCCAAAGGAACCCGGACTCGCCAGCGAGTATGTGGTAATCCTGCCCCTAAGTGCGGAGGCAGCTGCCCAGGAGAGGCAAAGGAGTCAGAGGCCTGTGACACCAAGAAGGTTTGCCCCAGTGAGTGAGGGCAGCCACCGGGTGGGTCTATAGAGTTACAGCAGGGAGCTTCCAGGGTGAGAGGACTTCAGCATGCCTGACCATATATGTATCCCTCCACTCCAACCACAGCACATGGGGCGTGGGCTGCCTGGGGCCCCTGGAGCCCCTGCTCAGGTTCCTGCCATGGTGGACCCCAAGAGCCTAAGGAGACCCGCAGCCGCAAGTGTTCTGCACCAGAGCCCTCCAAGCAACCTCCCGGGAAGCCATGTGTTGGATCAGCCTATGAACAGCGGGGCTGCACTGCTCTGCCACCCTGCCCAGGTGTGCAGGGATGAGGCCGCTCACACTTTGCCAGCAAGGCTCTTGATTTGGGGCACAGATGCTCTGTTGTGTCAGGGACCATGGGGCTATCGAGCTCTTCATTTGGGGACTGTGTGCCTCAAGGGTCCAGGGGCTGAGGGAGGGAATGAGGTGGTCTTTCTCTTGCTCCCTTTCCCCCTCCAATAGTGGCTGGAGGCTGGTGCTCATGGGGTCCTGCGACCCCCTGCCCTGTGACCTGTGGCCTAGGACAGACCCTGGAACAACGGACATGCAGTTGCCCTGTGCCCCAGCATGGGGGCCCTGTCTGTGCTGGTGATGCCACCCGGATCCACATTTGCAACACAGCTGTGCCCTGCCCTGGTCAGCATCTTAGAGGCACCATTTCCATGCCAAAGCCCCCTGCCCATCTCTACTGCCCAATTCCTGCTGCTAAGGCCTTGTTCCTGCCTCTAATTCTCCTTTTCCTGGCCTTCATGCCGTTCCACCTCTCCACAGCCCCCATCCCCACATCTGATGGCACCCACTCTCTCCCACAGCCTTCATTCCTTCCCAAGCCTCCTTACTGGCTCCCTGCTTTGATCCGAACCCCTTTGCCCCCTGTTTCTGCAGTGGACGGGGAGTGGGAAGCCTGGGGGAACTGGGGCACCTGCACGCGATTACACATGAAGACCATTAACTGTGAGGAAATCCCGGGCCAGCAGTCACGCACGAGGATCTGCGGGGGGCGCAAGTTTGATGGACAGCGGTGCCCTGGGAAATACCAGGATATCCGACACTGCTACAACATCCAGAACTGCGTCTGTGAGTGGCCCCATAAATGACACTGTGATAGTGGGCAGCCCAGGCAGGGACAAAAGTCTTCCACCTCTGCTGTGGATCCCATGACCCTGCAGCCTCCCTGTCACCTTTCCACTGAGACCTCCAGTTTTGACTCTGTGATCCTCTCCTCTTGTTGCAGTGAAAGGATCATGGTCACAATGGAGTACCTGGGGTCTGTGCACACCCCCATGTGGACCCAACCCCACCCGTGTCCGTCAGCGCCTCTGCACAGCCTTGCTCCCCAAGTTCTCGTGAGTGAGGGGGCAGTGTGCCTCAGAGAGGGTCTTGGTGTTGAAGGCGGGAGTTGATTAGCCCCAACCAGGGCTTCCACCGCTGGGTCTAAGGTGCCCACCTTGTTGAGTGCCATCTCCCAGCTGCAGAAAGAGGGTAGAAAATAAGCAGAAGAGATGGAGCTGTTGGGGATAATTTGCAGCCATTGTGCCCCTCCATCACTCCTGCAGCCACTCGGCCATCCTCATGTGCACTCAGTCTGTCATGCGTCCATTCCTCTGACCTCTGTCACCATGCTTTGAGTTGCTTAGTCACCCATTCATTCACTCCACATCTCACTGCCAGAGGCACTCCACGGCCTTTTTAGCAACAGTTACAGACACACAGAACCCAGACCCATGAGCCCTGTCCCCCAAGGGACCTAGATGAGCAGAGCCCTGACAAAGTGTACAAGGAATGACTAGAGTACTGCAAAGGGACTGCCACCTCACCCTGGGTCCAGGAAGCAGATCAGGTCTTCCTGGGCAGCTAGGGCTTGGGAAAGGCATTCCTGGCTTCAAGACTGTGAACAGGGTCCTGGACACAGGTGATTAGCCACCCTAAGTGTTTATTGGTGACCAGAGTGGCCCAGGTGTTGGAGAGTGCTAAAATAGCCCTCCCTTCCTTGCTTCCACATAGATCAAGTTACTAGGTTAAGTGGGCTGTTCCCATTACATGGGAGGCCTGCCATCTGGGACTTTATCTGCCAGCTGCATGGTTCAGAGTGGGTCCTGAAGGCAAGTTAGAGCTTTTTTGAATGGAGGCATAAAGCATTTGATTGAGTGAGAGACTGAGTGGAGGGAGGACCAATTGAGAGAATCAGGTGGGAGTGAATGGAGGGCTTGCCTAGTGGGAGAAATAACTCAGGCAAAGACCTTCCTAGACATGAGACCCAATTTGGGTAAAGTATGTGTGTATAAGACAGTGGGGGGAGAGGAAGGGAGGGAGAGAGGCTTGGAACAGGGATTTGGGCCCAACAACAAAACCTTGAATGTCAAGACAAGACATTTGGGGGTTTTTCCAGGTGGGGAGTGGGGAGAAGGTGAATCAACATTCACCAGCATTTTTTTTTTGAGCTACTATGTGCTAGGCACCATTCCAAGCACTTACCTGAATTAATTCATTTAGCTTCACTCAGCCTGGTGAGGTGGTATTATTATAACTATTATTGACATTGTGTAAGTGAGGGAAACTGAGGCACAGGAAGGGTGAAGAAATAGCCCAATATCACAGCTAAAAAGTAGTGTTGAAAACACAACAGGCATTCATTAAGACTTTGTTGAGGCATGGCTCAAATGGCAGAGACTTGCCTTAGGTCAATCTCCAGTACCACCAAAAAAAAAAAAAAAAAAAAGAAAGAAAAAACTTTGATGATGGTGCACCTATATTCCAAGTACTCAGCATACTCGGCAAGTTCCAGGCCAGCCTGGGCTACAAAGTGAGACCCTGTTTCAAAAAGAAAAAACAAAACAAAACAAAAAAAGCTTCCGAATGTTTTCTTGCCTTCCCTAAGCTTCTTTCTTCCATTTCCCCCACTAACACCCCAGGTCCACCGTAACCATGGTCGAAGGTCAGGGTGAGAAAAATGTGACCTTCTGGGGGAACCCACGGCCTCTGTGTGAGGAGCTGCAGGGGAAGAAGCTGGTGGTGGAGGAGAAAAGACCATGCCTGCGTGTACCTGCCTGCAAAGATCCTGAGGAAAAACCCTAATACCTCTTGCTTCCCCTCTGACCCCCGACCTTCCAGACCTCAATAAACCAAGCCTCTTCCAGCTCTTCTGAGATTCCTTGTAAGAAAAAAGCAACCTGTACCCTTCCACAAAAATGGGACAACAGCGTTTTTTAGAGCAAAGCCGCAACGGCATTTGTGGAAAACAGGATTTTCCATTGTGGTTGCAGCTTGAAAGGAGTGGAACTGCCCAGCCCCAAACCTCCCTTCTCCATTGCCCTAACCCGGCCCTTCTGGTGCCCCAGGGCCACCCAGCACGTCCCTCTGCAGAGCTCTGCTCTACGGGTTTCGTGATTGGCTACTCGCTATGGCAGGCACTTCTTGATTGGCCATCTCAGCGTGCCCATTAGTTGCTATCTCTCCACTTCCCGAAGCTTCCTGAGTTCCCACCAGCCAGAGCCTCTCTGCTGGCCGATCCACATCAAGGATGAACAGTGGCAGAGGCGTGGCCAAGGTTGGCACCCTGCCAGGGGAGCACCTGCACCCACCCACTCCCAACAGCCCAGCTCCAGCACCACAATTATCAGCGAGAAATAGCTCTGCGAGGCGGGGGCGGGGGGACGGGAGTGAGGAAGTGGCTATGATGTGCTGGGAGCTGGGGCGGGGGCAGAGAGGAGCTAGAGTCAGCATCTGCCCGGAGGAGCCCTCCAAACAAACCCAGACACATATTCCTTTCACATTTGTTCATTTCACTCAACACTGGCGTCGACTGTATGCTAGACCTAAGTCTGGGCATCTGGGGTGGAGGAGGACTGGTAGAAGGAGAGGACATCTGATCAGGGAACAGACTCAGAATAGGCATTCCTTTTGTTCGAACATTTATTCAACACTTAACGCCTACTGTGTACTAACAATAGTGCTGGACATCAGCATCGAAGAGGAATCAGAGCCGCACCTGTCTCCACAGTAAAGAGAACAGACCCAGACACCAATGCTCTTAGCATTTGCTCATTCATGTACTACTCACTGAATGCTGAGGCGCATAAGAGTCATCATAGTTATGGTAACAGCTAACACTTAGGAAGTGCTTACTGTGTGCCCAGTAGCGTCTTAAGGCTTTCCATAGCATGAACTCATTTAATTCACAAGGAACCCATGAGGGTCCGTATTATCCCCACTTTACAAAGGAGGAAACGGGCAAGAAAAGGGCATGAGCTGGACGTTTTTGAAGCACCATGCATTGTGCAGCCTTAAATTTCAAGAGCAGAGTTTAAGACTTTGGTGGGTGAAGAGGACCCCTCTCTGTGGGAAGGTTCAGGTGGGAGATCTGTGATACCCAGAGTCTTGTCAGAGTATTTACTTGTCTTCTCTGGGTCCATTTGCCATTATATAAAATGAACCCGTTGGTGGGTTGAAATAAACACAAGTCAATGAGTAAGTACTTGGTTATCCTGGGAAAATGGAGCTTTAAGAGGGGGTTTCTGGTTGCTACTACAGGATGTGAGAGGTATGTGTTTGCAAGAAAGTGGAAGTTCAGCTGTGGATTGTGCATTATGCAGTACATATCTTTGTGTGTGTGTGGTGTAGACCAGTAGAACTGTGCAAAAATTAAGGATGTATTGAACTATGGTACATGAGTTTACAACTGAGTTATATGTGTGCATTTGTGTGTGCACACTAAGGTGGCATGGGTATGTATGTGTTATAAATATGGGCACAATACTGAGTGTGAACATGTCAGGGGTGTGTGCTTGATTTGTTGCTCACCAATGCACAAGAAAGAAAACTATTCTTGGGGGCCCTTCTGTACGCCATTCCTGCTGAGGAAGATGAAGACTGTGTGGAGATTTACCTCTCGGTTGAGATGCTCCTTAGGGGAACCACAGCCCTCTGAAAGACAATCTACAAAAAATTCATTTATGGAAATTGAGCCACCTGGAAAAGGGGAATGGCCCTGGGAGCCATAAGTACTAGGAGCCTGGGAACCAGGTTCATAGGAAGAGACACAGTCTGGAGACAGAAACCTGAGGAGCCCAGATTCAGGCCCAGAGGTGCCAGAAAGGTCTGGAGACCTGCAGGGGCTCCTGTCTCCCAAGGAGGTCACCACAGGGTGGGTACAATTTGTTTGCTTCCTTTACTAAGCAAAAAACAAACATATATTTCAAAGCTTTAGAAAGTACCTAGTTGGTGGGAAATTCCCATTTGGAATGCCAGAGAGGGCATCCTGGAGGGAGGAGGAAGGACTAGCCAAAGCAAAGGCCTGGAGGTGGAACTGAAGTTGGCTGGGATGGAGGAGAAAGTAGGAGGATAATTTGGAAAATGTTTGACTTGTGGACTGTGGGAGCCTAGGGAAAGAGGTATGGAATCTGAGACCCAGGGGTGAGGGGCTGTTTCCTGGAGAGAAGGAGGGAGAGGGCATTCCTGGTAGAGGGCCACCTAATCTAGTATGACATTATTGCTCACTGTGGCCAAGGCCCTATCCAATCTGGCCCCTGCTAACCTCTAACCCTATCTCCTACCACAATCCCTCTCACTTTGTTCTAGCCGCACTGGCCCTGGCTGTTCCATCTTCCTGGCACATTCTTAAAAGAAAAAAAAAAGTATAGATCATAAAGTGAACATTACCCTCTGGGAATGAATTGGAGTTCTTGGATTCCCTCATCTGTAAAGTAGAAAATATACCCAGGTGCCAGTGGCTCACGGTTGCAATCCAGCTACTTTGGGAAGCTGAGATCAGGAGGATCGTGATTCGAGGCCAGCCTGGGCAAATAGTTTGTGGGACCCCATCTCAAAAAAAAAAAAACCAGAGCAAAATGGACTGGAGGTGGCTCAAGCACTAGAGCACCTGCAAGTGTGAAGCACTGAGTTCAAACCCCAGTCTTACCAAAAAAAAAAAAAAAAAAAGAAAGAAAAAAGTAGAGGGCTAGCACAGTGACTCAGTGGTACAGCGCCTGCCTAGCAAGTGTGAGACCCTAAGTTTAAACCCCAGTACCGCAAAAAAATAGAAATTGTATTAGCCAGTATAGGATTGTTGTGAGTATTGGATGAACTACTGTTTGGTGCGCCAAACAAATGAGCGCTTATGGATGTGTGCTTTTACTGTAGCTAGGATCTTAGTGTTTGACATGACAGCTTCTACATCCCGCCTCTGCCGGAACTACCTCTTTTGCTCATGTGCAAATATTATTTGGCAACCTGCTCCTGTCTGTGGAAAGTTCTCCGTGTGGGGGAAGACAGCCATGGACACAGATAACACCAGGATTTGGCTGTGTCTTTGCAGAGGAATGGGGGCATATAGTTCAAGTGTGTGCATGGGGAGGAGGAAGGACATGCATCAGGGCTAGAGCTGCAGGGAATGTGTCTGTGTTGCACATCCAGGTTTCTCCATGGTCGTGTGTGGATATGTGTTGTTGTCTGGATGTGCTTGCTTGTGTGAGTTTCTCTGGGTCTCTGTGTGTCCATGTGTTGCCCGAGTATGTATGCGTGTGTGTGTGTGCGTGTGTGATGCATATGCATGCATGTACTCTACATGGTCACGTGTGTTTGTTACTCTGTGCTTGTATGTATATATGCGTAGATGAATATGTGCACTCTGTGCATGCCTCTGTGTTTCCTTACTTTTGGATGTGTGTTACTCCCTGCGTGCCTCCAGACCCCCCACCACCAAGGACGAGGGTGTGTACACCATCCAAGTGTTCACCTCCTCTTGTCTGATGATGTTCACACACCCCTCCTTCTCTCGGGCTGAGACTGTGGACGTGGGAGACTGATCTCCCCGCGGGGCACTGCGTGTGACCCCCACCCCTCGCCGTGAGGGGCTTAGTTCTCTACTTTTATGTCTCTAAGTGTGCCTCCAACCCCCCACCCCCGCATCCAATGTCTTCAGCGGCGAATGTCAATACTGGAAATGGAGCATCTGGGGAGGGTCCTGTGTATGAGCGAGTGTGGGTGTGAGGACCATGATGAGATGGGTAGTGGGGGGAACTGCTTAACTACCTACTGCGACCCTCAGGACAAGCACCCCACCCCCACTCCCCAAAATTGCGCATCCCCAGTCGGAGGGGGGAGGGGAACAGGATGCGGCGGGGCGCTTGCGCACTGCCTGTTTCAGCACCGCGGACAGCGCCTTCGCCCCCGCCGCCGGCGCGTGCCACCGCCGCCCCAGCACTGAAGGCGCCCTGACGTCACTCGCCATTCCTCCACAAACTCCCCTTCCCCGCCGCCTTGGTCGCGTCCGCGCCGCCGTGGGCCCAGCTGGACTGCACCACGCGAGGCGCGACATAGGGGGGCACGGGCGCGACCATCCGCGCTGCGGCGGCGGCGACTCAGCGCTGCCTCAGTCTGCGGCGGGCAGCAGAGGAGTCGCGTCGTGCCTGCGAGCGCAGCTGTGCTCCTGGGCCCCTCGCGGTCCGCCCCCGCGGCTCCTAGACAGACTACCCCTAGGACCCCTTGCCCCAAGCCGCCACCATGAACTACCTGCGGCGCCGCCTGTCGGACAGCAACTTCATGGCCAATCTGCCGAATGGGTACATGACAGACCTGCAGCGCCCGCAGCCGCCCCCGCCGCCGCCCTCTGCCGCTAGCCCCGGAGCCACGCCCGGCTCCGTGACCGCCACTGCCGAGAGGGCCTCCACGGCCGCCCCCGTGGCCTCTCCAGCAGCCCCTAGTCCGGGGTCCTCGGGGGGCGGTGGCTTCTTCTCGTCGCTGTCCAACGCGGTCAAGCAGACCACAGCAGCCGCGGCCGCCACTTTCAGCGAGCAAGTGGGCGGCGGCTCTGGGGGCGCAGGCCGTGGGGGCGCCACCGCCAGGGTGCTGCTGGTCATCGACGAGCCCCACACCGACTGGTAAGCCACTGCTGTGCTGTCCCGTGGGCCTGGGTCCCCAGATGGTTCCACGGTGAACGAGCAATTACCAAGGGCCGCTTGTGTGCCTGGCATCTGGCCCCTCACCCAAATTCCTTTCCTTTAAATTGTTTTGCTGGGCCTTTCTATGCGCCCCTCCCTTGCCTTCCCAAAACCTCGATGGATACCGAGAGCAATTATCAGTTGCCTGCTGTGTACCTCTTCCCGGATCCTCCTCTCCCAAAGCCTTTTGCTTCAATATATCCTGTGACCCTTCAAGAGCCAAAAGTGCTCTGCCTCCCGTGCTCAACCCTTGCCCCGAGGACCTTTTCCTCTAATGAATCTTGTAAGCATTTATCCAGTACTTGTAGTATGCCTCCTTGATGAACCCTTCTCTAAAACCTTTGGCCTCAGTGAATTTTGTGAGCATGTTTTGAGAGCCTGAAAACGTGCCCCGTTCTCCTCAGCCCTTGCCCTTACGCCTTCTCTCTGAAGGGTCTTGCGAGCATGTATCCAGTTGGTACTATGTGTCCCACCCAACCCCCTCCTCAAAGACCTCTTAAACTGTTCAGTAAACATTGATTGAGTGACTGCTGTGTGTCCTTACCCCTGCTACTAACCACAAGCTCGGCCTGTAATGGATCCTGTGAGTCTTGATTGAATGCCTTCTATGTGCCCCAAGTCCCCTATGTGTCCCTCCTTCTGAGGGGACTTATTTTCTCTAAAGGATCTAAGAAGCAATTATTAAGTGCCTTAAGCCCCCTCTCAAAAAAAATCATTTTCCTCCAGTGAATTCCATGAGCATTTTTGAGCCCTCTGTGTGTGACTCATCATCAAATTCTCTCCTCAAAGATCTTTTCCTGTAATGAATCTTAAAAGCATTTATGGAGTGCCTCCTGTCTCCCTCATCCCCAAGCTGCTCCTTCAAAGGCCCTTCCTTTGGTTGACCCCACCAGCATTGATCACCTGTCGGCAGTGTGAGTCTTCTCTAAAGGTTCTTTCCTCCAATACATTTAGCGAGGATGTATTGAGTTCTTGCTGTATACCCCATCCCCAAACCTTTGCCCCATGCCTTTGCCTTCAGTGGCTTCACTCAGCATGTATTGAGTACCTTTTGCATGACCTAACCTTAGACCTCCCCACAAAGGCCTCCAGTTAACCCAGTGCTCAGCTATCTAGCAGCTGCTCTGGGCACCATTTCAGTCACTCTTGCCGAAGACTTTCTATTTTCATTGCTCTGTGGTGTATTTAAGAAGCACCTGCTCTGTGCCTTCGCTGCAAAAGTCTTTCCTCCCACGGATGGAGAACCCTACTTGTGTAGATCAAGTTCCTGCATCCCCTTCTCCTTCCGCAAAGGGCTTTTCCTGCAAGGATCCAGTGAGCGTTTATCAAATAATTGAGCACCCATCCCTAGCACTCCTCGCCAAAGCTCTTTCCTTTTAATGGATCCAGTGAACACCGATTCCTTGTCTGCATGTACGCAATTCTCATCACCATCCCCAAAGACCTTTTCCTCCAATGGCTCCCATGAGCACTTACAGAGTGCCTTCTGCGTGTCCATGCCTCCTCCCCAGAGACTTTTCCTTTCAGTGGATCCAGTGAGCACATAGCAGTGCCTGTTGCATGTGCGCAGTGCATTCTCCTTCATGACCACTAGGAGAACCTGTCCCCACTGTAAGGGCTCTCCCAGCAATCTAGAGCCTGATTTAGAGGGCGCACCCCTTTTCCATACCTGTCAGTAACCCTAAGATTTCCTCTCTCAACCTTAAATCCATACCCCAAAGGACTTTTAGTTTATTGAAGTCAGTAAACACTTACTGAGCACCTACTGTATGAGTTATTCTCAATCTCCTCTTTCCAGGTCTCTGAAGTTCCTGCCCCTGCCTTAAGAGCCCACTCTCCAGGAATCTACTTCAGCTGAAATTTATTGAGTACCATCTGTTTACTAGTTAGAACAACCTTCCTCCTACCCCCAGGAGCCCTTACCCCGCAGCCTTTCTCTCTATTCAGAGCTATTTATTCATTCCACAGATGTTTATTGCACACTTTCCATGAGTCAGAATGTGGGAGGCATTTATTAAGCACCACTATATACTGGAACCCTCCTTCAGCTCCCCTGCCTTCTAATCCCATCCACCAGTTAGCGTTCCTATAGCATTTCTTCTATTCAACCCCACAGTCATTTAATGAACACTTATTGTATACTCCGAAGAACCCTCTATTCCCGCTTCTAATCCTGGTTCTTCCTTTAGCAATCTTCATCCTGCCTTTCACACTACACAGTCCTGAAAACTCAGAATGTGCACCATTTTCCATTTCTTCTGGTGAGATCCCACTCCCCACTAGCAGCCATCTCCAGAGCTGTCCTTCCCTTTCCCCATTAATTCAGAAAGCACTTATTATTATAGTCTGTTCAAACAAACACATTCCTGTTCCTGCAGCAGGCTGCCCCGCTCTCTCCAGCAACTCAAGAGCATGGATTAAGCACGTGTCACAATTCCTTTACCAAAATCCATTCCCTAAGGTGCTGTCTTCCTGGCCGAATTTGCTCCATTGGAGAGTCCACAAACATTAACGAGGTCTGCTGCATATTGGAGTCCCCTCTTTTAGACTTCTCTTCTGCATTGCAACCTTCCAGGCAGACTCCGTATTGCTTTTTTCCTCCATTCCATTAAGCATTTATTATACTGAATACTGACAAGTCCCCCTGCCTCCACAATCACAACTCCAATGTTTTCCATTTTTCTTCTAATCTCTTCAGGATTCGCTGAATTCAGTGAAAGAGCTTCCCTTCCTCTTCTGCATCCCAGAAGTCCCTTGCCCTTATCCCAGCAGCTCTTCCAGTCCTTCCACCCAGGCAATCTAGCAAATGTTTATTTAGTGTCTACTGTGTGTGTGTGTTGGGGAGGGTGACATGGACAAAGGGAGAAAGCCTTTGTACACCAGGCTCAGTGTGGGAACAGATCCCTGCATCACCAGCTTTCAGACTTCAGACCCATGCAAGTTTCAGAGGTTCAGCCTGAAATAAAGGAGTTTCGCACTCTGTAACAAAGCACACCTAAGTACACTCTGACACCTTCCCCTTAAACTTCACCACTCTCAGTTCCTCCTGAGGTTGCTTCCTCTGTGGCTTCTCTGGGTTGAGACTCAACTTTCCTTTTTAGAGATAATTTAGTCCCGTGTTTTTCAAACAGTGGGTCACCTATTGGGTTATGACCGGGGCATCACTTTCTTCCTGAAGTAAGATAAATGAAATAGAAAATAATGTATGTTGCATATAGTAAGAGAGTTGTTTAATGCAACTGTTATTCCAATAAAATATATAATATCTGATGCATACCGTATGTCATATATGACATTTGCTATATATCGCATGTGTTATATAATGACTTTTTAGTGTATATACATTTAAATGGTATATTTTTCTTCACAAAATAGAACAGGAAATACAAAACTGCATTGCACATAGTAAAGATAATTATTACCGAAACTTTTATTTTGCTCCGTAGCCAAGGCTGGCCTCGAACTCGTGATCCTCCTTCCTCAGCCTCACAAGTGCTGGGATTACAGGTGTGCACCACTATGCCTGGCTAAAACTTTAATTCCAATTACATAGGTATACTTATGTACATTCTACTATACATTGTAGAGAGTTATACACATAATATATAATATATATTTTTGTGTTTTATATAAGGCATATTCTATTTGCTATATAACGCATGTATCTTATATATTTTATATATATAGCATGGGGTACTATGTAAATATGTCTATAGTGGGTTTTATAAGCTATATTTCTTATTGTGGCTTCTTTCCTTAGATAGACTTCCCTGGAGGCAGACCCTTCACCTTCAGCTAGCACCTCTGTTGGTCTCAGTGGCTTACTTGGTAGGTGACCCATTCCCTCATCTTTGAGGGATCCCTGAGCCTTGTGTCCCCACACCCTTCTCAGGCTCTGGCTGCTGTACTTGTCCACTTCCCATCAAAGTTAAACAAGGAGTACCAACAGATGCCCAAGTGGCTCACCTGGGCACCAAAACACTCCTCCCTGCCCCCAACAGGTACCAGCAGCCTTACCTCTTCCTAAGGATCAAGGCCACACCCTCCTACCAGACTCCTCTTCACTTGACAAGAGAAACCTGAAGTGCCCAGGTGGCCATCATAGCTTAGAATTTAATGGGATTCTTGCTGCGTCCCCTGGTAGCAGTGTCCCCACTTGGAGAACCAGGACCTCTAACCTTGCAGAGCCCTGAGGGAACAGAAACCACAAATTCTAAAAGTGGATCACTAGAACTAATGGTAAGCTGGGCCACTCCTGCTTTAACCTCTGAGTTCCCAGCCCCATGCACTCTATTAGGAAGATAGCGTATACCATGGTCATTGATTCAGGGTTTAGACTGTGTTTTTGGAGGATGGTGCCCATTCTTGCATGGTATCATCTCCAAGATCTGATCTTCACTGTGGCCGCAACAAGCCACGTGATTCAATCGGGACAGCAGCTTCTGGGAGGAGTAGGATCCGTTGACACCTCATCAATTGATTCCATGGTCACAGGTCACTTTTGCATCTCTTTTACTCTGCATTCCTTTACTTTGCAATAACATGTGTCCTTTGGTATGATACAATGCTATGTGGGATACTGTGGTGCTGAATCAAACATTGTGGGAGCCCTTAGGGTTGCTGGCTAAAGTCTTTCAGTCAAAAAAGGCAAACCATATATGGAATATTCCAATGAAAACAGATTGCTATTCTTTCCATGGTGCAGGGGGCCCAATGTAGTCAGCCTTCCCAAGTGGCTGGTTGGTCTTCTTGAGGATGGGTAATATCAGGGACTCAGTGTTGGTTTCTTTGCTGGCAGCTCCAATGCTGTTGGCCGCACACACAGCTTCTGTCTCTGCTGCTATTGCCGCTTCATTCGTTTGCCCATCTGCTAGCACTGGGGTGGCTGATTAGAGAGGCTGGCTGACATCATCTGGATGACTCATCCTGTCTACCTAGTTGCCTAGTGCCACTTCCACAGTGGATGATGCCTGGTGGCTGTTAACACACAACGCAAAGGTCTTCACTGCTCCCTTTGTGCCCATTCCCACATGTCCACCCACATTTCTGCATCCTGGGCTTCCATTGCTCTGATCTTTTGATCTTTCCCCTTCCAGGCCCCTGACCAAGCCATTCACCATTGCCCATAAATGAATATTTATTTTCTAATCTTGATCCACTTCTCTACTGCCAGGTGCACAGCCTGAAGATCTGCCGTTGGAAGCTTGGCCATTGTCTTCCAAGGCCACTCAAAGTGAACAGCATAGCCACTGTTCGTTTTTTGGTTTCCACCCACAGCCCAAGACAACCCATTTGTGAACCAGGCTTAGGTTTTTCCCTCTCTCATCAGCTGGTTGGAAGGAGTCCTTCAGCTGAGGGAGAGACACCAGCGTGACAATTGTGGACACCGTGGGGATCTGGATTACCTTCTCATGCAACTTGTTTGGCTTTGCATGGGCTCAATCTTAGCTGCTGGGTCCATCTAACTTTACTACTTGGTAAGCATGGCAGGACCCACTTACAATGGGCTGTCCTGAGTGCATGGTCACTTGGTGTTCCATGGTCAAGCTATCTCTATCAGGGCCCAATACTGCAGTGGGATCTGTTTCTCCAAGGGGATATAATTCAGCCAGGTGTGGTGTTACACGCTTATAATCCCAGTACTTGGGAGACTAGGCAGGAGGATCATGACTTAGAGGCCAGGCTAGGCTACATAACAAATTCCAAGACAGCCTGGGCTACATAGCGAGACCCTGTATCAAAAAGAAAGCCCCCAAAAGCGTATAATTCTCTGCTGCAGATGGCATGGTCTAGCTCCAGAATCCTGAGAGGCCTCAGAGCCACTCATGTTCTGATTCCCACTCAGAGGTGGCAGCTTTACATGTCACCTGAAACGTGGGCCAGAGCAGTATTTGCAGGTATGGAATGTGATACTTGCAGAACCTGAAAGTGGAAGGCATGAGATGCAATACTTGGCCCTGTTCTTTGGAGGTGCTGTTGTGACATGATTTGGAGCACTTGGATCCCTAAAAATTCTAATGCAGTAGGCCCTTGAGTCTTTGTAGGGTTTCTCTCCTACCATCTGGAGCACCTGTGTCTTTTATTTATTTATTTTTGAGATAGGGTCTCAAGGCCTAGGCTGGCCTTGAACTCACTATTTAGCCAGGCTGTCCTCAAACCCTAGATCCTCTGCACCACCCTCCTGAGTGCTGGGATTATAGGCATGTACCACCACACCTGTTTCAGAGCACACATGTCTTATCAAGGAAATGTGCTAACCATCTCTTATCCATCTTGCATAATCAGTATGATGTAACCGATATAATGGTCTAGTGCTATATTCTGAGGGATGTCCAGATGGTCCAAATTTCTTTGGACTATAGTATGACACAGGTTGATAGAAATAACGTTGCCCTAAGCCAAGACCAATCATGAATATTGTTGTCAGTCCCACGTGAATGTGAACTACTTTTTATCCTCTTTTCTAATCAGAATTGAAAAGGTTAAGTTCACCAAATAGGTGCCACCTGCCGTACCTGAGGTCTTGGTGGCCCTAGAAGAAGTCTACAAATACTCTTTGGATCCATCCAGCCTCCTTGGGAAGCAAACTGGTTAATTCAATGGATGGAGATAAGACAACACCCCTGCATCCTTCTGAGTGGTCTTAATTTCTACCCTCACCTCTAGAATACATACAACATTGCTTTTGATTGACTGTTTCCTTGTTCTCATTCGTTTTTTGCCAGTGCAGGGGATCAAACTCAGGGCCTCGTGTTTCAGGACAAGTGTTCTAAGATGAAGCTACGCTCCCAGCCTGATTTCCTGTTTTGGTCAGGGCACGGGAGTGTGTGCCATTTCAGAAGCTTCCATTTGGACTTCTCTACTGCAATAGTTCTTTCCCCACAGGCCAAGGAACCCATGTCAGGGTTCTGAGTACTTCAAAATATGTCATTCCAGTTATGTATTTGTGAACTGGTAGAGTGACACTGAGTGGGTCTCTGGATCCTAGGGACCCAAGGTGAGCAGAAGCTGGTTGCTAGTCTGATTTCCAGGAATGGAAGTGCGGGAGTAGATCCTGAGAGAGGTAGGCATTGACTTATAAGGTACCTGCTTCATTTGAGGCTTTCTGCATTATCTTTAAGCAGAGGGAAGTTCTATATTCTAACAAGAGGGGATAGGCTATTTCGGCAGGCACAGTGGATTCAGGTGAGTCTGTATTTCAAGGTATTTTAACTACACTTGCTCAGATATCCCAGTCCTAAGCCTCATCCCACTCCTGTTGCATTAGGAGTCTGAGTGTGGCATAGGAAAGTGCTAGACCTGAGAGTTCAACCTTCCCTGGTGCTCTGCCACACTTAGAATTAAATCCTGATCCAGGTCCTTCCCTCCCTTTGCCCTCTGGCTGCAGACTGTGGATCCTTAAATGCAACTGGGGAGGTCCTCTGGCTCTCACCATTTTGCTTTGAATTGGTGATTTCTTACTCTCAGCATGTCAGATATTTCTGCAGCTAGCCCGTGGCATTTAGCAAGTCACCAGGCCACTTGCCATTTCCCTCATACCTCTCTAGCACAGGGTTATTTCCCCAGCTGGTTCACTCCCTTCCACCAGTCTCTTACTACAGTCAACCATTAGGAAAAGTCACTGCTGCTCCCCAATCCCAGCAGCCTGTACTGTTGTTCTCCCTCATGGGAGACAAGGCTCCACCCGGCATCGTTTCCCACTGTGACACCTTCAGTGTCATAAGACTTGCCACATCATATGGGCTAAGTGGCATCCTGCTTGTGGCACAGCCTGGACCTGCTGCAGAATGCTTTGCTTGGCTACCGCCCAGGGGCTAGCTGAGCCCCACCTCCCAGCACCAACAGATCCTCACTCCCAGCTGGCTGTTGGGTGGCCCAGCTCCACAGGCACGCTCAAGTCTTCTCTGTAGTTTGACTTCTCTGACCCACTGTTCTAGGCTGGCTTGCCAGAAACTATGCTGAGGCACAAGTTTGCACACAGGAAGCTTTCTGGGAGTGCCATTGTTTCAGCACCTATGAGAAGCATAGATTTGAGTAGAGGGACAGAGTGGGCCACCATGCAGGTGGATCAGAGGCCTCAGATGGCCCCAGGAGGGGATGGTCCTCCAGAGTCAGCCAAGACTGAGGCAAGGAGGCTGGCCTCTGGACCCCTTCAGAGATCAGAAACAGGCCGGGGACTGTCATCAGGAAGTACGTGCAACCTTGGTCAAAGTAGATCCCTGGCGGGGGATCTACTTTGTCCTCAATGGAGACAAAGCTGCTGTCAGCAGCTGACATTCAATATACCTTGACCCTGAGAGGAGATCTGAGCAGAATACCACTGTATCCTCTACACCTATGATGAAAAAACCCTTGCAAAACAGTGATAGATGCTCATTGTCCATATTTGCCATCAGTTTCTAGATGGAAAATGTGCAAGTCTGAGAGAGATTCTCTTCTGATGCTTGCCAGTTTCAGTGATGGTATGTGTGTGTGTGAGAGAGAGACAGACAGACAGACAGAGACAGAAAGGAAAAGGAAATAACCGGGCTGGGAATGTGGCTTAGTGGTAAGCTCTTGCCTAGCTTGTGCAAGGCCCTGGGTTCCATCCCCAACACCACAGACAAAAAGGAAATAGCTGTGCTTGGGTTCTCTTGTGTACATAGTGAAGTCACCAGGGCCCGTTTGTGCAGTGCGTATGTGTCAGAGACCCTGACTGTGTGCATGTCAGTGCAGTGGGCCCTGGAGTGTCCCCCCTACTCTTCCTCTTTCCATGAGAAACCTGACTGGAGATGAGTTTCTGGCTGTGAAGAAGCTGTCAGGTAGGAGCCCTGGGCCTGAGTGAAGAGGCCCACTGGAAACTGAGCTTAGCCAGGATGGAGCTGAGATAATGACATAGCAGTTTGTGATGTGTCTACTGCTGCTCCTCCTCCTCCCTGTGGCTTCCCCTCCCCCTCAGCTGCATTCCTCCCTCCCCCCACTATTGATGGCTGCGGCTTTTTTAGAACCACCCCCAGCCTGGCACCCTTCAATCTGCTGTTCCTTGGATGCAGCTGCCCACCCATGGCTGCTCTGGCCCTCATAGCATACTACACCCATGGTCAAGGTGCTCCTCCTTAGGAGAGGGCCAGAGAGCAGAGAGATGCTCCAGGCCACCCAGGCAGACCCAGGCAGTGAGACTCACACAGGCACTGAGATGCACAACCACAGGCCCACATCATGTATTTGTGATTTCTGAGGTTCTTCTCCATTTCCAAACCTCCATGTGAGTTCAAAGTCAGAATTGACACAGCACTATTTATTTTGCAAAGCTTTTCTGAAGCATTTATAATAGCCAGGCTATTTACAATAGCAGACCATATTCTGGGAAATGCCTGCTCTCTATAGTTTAAAAACCCACTTCACAGTTTGCAACGCCCTTTACAGACCCCCGTGAGGATTACAACAGACTTTGTTGTTGGCAAAGCATTGCTGATGGTTTTCAAAGTATTTCAGCAATCTTAAAGCACTACATGGCTTTGATAGTGGCACTGGAAGGGGAGAGGGATTAAGGGACCAGCCTGGATGTTGTTTTCCTTTCTGAGATTTGAGCACTGATGGATATGCCCTCTGTCTTCCTCTCCAGGGCGAAATACTTCAAAGGGAAGAAGATCCATGGAGAAATTGATATTAAAGTAGAGCAGGTAAATTAGGGAAGGTGGACTTGAGCTCAACTGTGGGGACTGCAAAGTGTTTGGTCATTTTTGTATAATGTAGGTGAATCACCAATTTTTTCTCGTTTCCAGGCTGAATTCTCTGATCTCAACCTCGTGGCTCATGCCAATGGTGGATTCTCTGTGGACGTGGAAGTTCTTCGGAACGGGGTCAAGGTTGTGCGGTGAGTATAAAAGGAGTACCCTGGTGTGACAGGAGAGGCACAAGGACTCCCATAGAGCTGAGGGAGGGTCCTACTTGCCCACTCATCCTTGTATGAATAAGAACTGGGACACAGAACATGGGAAATAGCTTTGCTCGGAAGAAGAGCCAAGGATTCCAGGAGGTCACAAGGCTAACTTTTTGATCATTCACTTGACAAACATTTCTTATGCTGCATTTATCACTTGACATTCAGCACATACTTATTGAGCACTTACTGTGTGCCAAGAGCTGTTCTCCATGCTGAGGACCTAGTGGTGAGCAAAACAGACCAAAAAGAAGACAAAAACCCCTTGGATCTCATGACATATTCTACTGTGGGATATAGACAATAAGCGAACAAGAAAATGCTAGCATGCTGAAGTAAAAACAGAGCAACAGCAGATACTGGGATTGTTGGATGGTGGCAGGGTTTGCGGTTTGGATAGGGTGGTTGGCCAGTATGGGAGGTAGTTGAGGAAAGACTGAAAGAGGGGAAGTAGTGGTCCATGCAGATCTTGAGGGGGACATGTTCAGGCATGGAGACAGCCCATGTAGAGAACCTGAGGCCGAAATCTACTCCAGGCCACACACTTTGAGGACAGCTGCTAGTCTGAGAGACTGTGTGCGCAAGGAGGTGGCAGAACTGAGTGGGGAGAGCTGCACACTGACCTTGGTGAGGAGGGCAGCAGACAGGAAAGGCCGCAAGGGGATGGACAGATGGGGAAAGGGTGGACACTCTGCTCCCCGCAGAAGGACCAGCTGGTGTGTGTGTGCAGAGGGAAGAAACTGCTCTGCAATTTCTGGGAGCTGTGAAGACTTAGAATCTGAGTCTTTATTCCAAGGGTGGTGGAGAGCTTCTGGGGGAACCTTCAACACACCTACCTGTGCTCCCCCCAGGTCTCTGAAGCCAGACTTTGTGCTAATCCGCCAGCACGCCTTCAGCATGGCACGCAATGGAGACTACCGCAGTTTGGTCATCGGCCTGCAGTACGCAGGGATCCCCAGCGTTAACTCTTTGCATTCTGTCTACAACTTCTGTGACAAGCCCTGGGTGGTAAGTGACAGGAAAGTCGCTGCTGGCACACGGAATGGCTCGTGCATGCACGCGGGAGCCTAGAGCCACTCTGTAACTTTGAGGAAGTGAGGATGTTTAGAAGCTTAGTGTGTTAGCCAGAGCTGCATTACTGTAACAAACACCTGAGATGACTGATTTACAAAGAGAAAAGGGTTGTTTGGTCTCATGGCTTTAGAGGTTTCAGTCCATGATGAATTGGCTTTGTTGCTTTAGGCCTGCAGCGACACAGGGCATCCTGGCAGAAGTCCGTGGTGGAGCAAAGCCACTCCCCTCATGGCCCAGAAGTGAAAGAGACCCGGGTCCCATGATTCCCTTTGAGGGCACACCTGCAGTGATCCATGGCCTCCCAGCAGACCCCACCTGTTGAGGTTTCCATCACCACCTCCTAGTACCACTCTGGGGAACAAGCCTTTAACACACAGGCCTTTAGAAGACATTCCAGATGCAAACTACAGCACTTGGGTCCCCCTCGGAGACTCCCTTCAGGTGAATAACTCACTAACCCATGTCTCCTGGTTCTCAGTTTGCCCAGATGGTTCGACTGCACAAGAAACTGGGGACAGAGGAGTTCCCACTCATCGATCAGACCTTCTACCCCAACCACAAAGAGATGGTAAGGCTGGGGGGCCGAGTGGCAGGAGGGAAAAGACTCAGAGCTACTGCAGTGTGAACAGTGGGTGCTTTGTGTGTGGACGCATGCAGTTACCTTGTGAGAGGGGCAAGTGGTACTTAGCCAAAAAGCCTGGGGCCACAAATGTTTCAGATTTTGGACATTTTAAAAAACTCTTGCATATGTGTCGAAGATATTTTGGGAATGGGACCTAACTCTATTTACAAAAGCCAATTATGTTTCCTATATACCTTATCTACACAGCTCAAAATTGGTTTCATACACTTTTGTGTGAGCCTGTGTTTTGACAGGAATCAGTCCCATGTAGAATATCACACTACGGCATCATGTTAGCATTCAAAAACTTTCAGATTTTGCAGCATTTCAGATTTCAAAATTTTGGCTTAGGGATGCTCAACCTGTGCCATGAATTTACTAATGGTTACACATGTGAGTGAAGTCATCGACCCCAGTGTTCATCAAATCCTGTCGCTTAGGTTAGCTATTCTTGCCTGTGTTAAAAATGAGTTTCTAGTGTAAATTCACAGAATTTAGGTAATGAATCAGATTATATTGCATATAGAAATCAAGTCATTGTTGGGCTGGAGACATGGTTCAAGTGATAGAGCACCTGCTTAGCTACACACACACACACACACACACACACACACACACACACACAGAAATTTTGCTGGGCACCGGTGGCTCACACCTCTAATCCTAGCTACTCAGAAGACTGAGATTGAGAGGAGTGCAGTTTGAGGCCAATCCCGGGCAAAAAGTTCATGAGATTCCATCTCAACCAATAGTTGAGAATGATGGCATACACCTGTCATCCCAGCTACTGTGGGAAGCATAAACAGAAGGATTGTGCTCCAGACTGGCTCAGGCAAAAAGTGAGAACCTATCTCAAAAATAACCAGAGCAAAAAGGGCTAGAGATGTGGCTTAAGTGGAAGAATGCCTGCAAAGCAAGTGTGTAAACTCTGAGTTCAAACAACCCCACTACCTCCAAAAAAAAAAAAGAAATCAAATTATTGTTATTAACATTGTTTATAAACAGAAATTAAATTGTTGGTTACTATTATCATAAAATATAATCATTATTATTATAAATTATCATGAATACTATAAGTTATAATTGATGTAAATTATGAGTGCAAATGTTATTAATTAAATTATAATTCTTTCTTTTGGCAGTATGGAGGCTTGAACTCAGGGTTTTGTGCTTGCTAGATGGGTGCTTACCACTTGAACCATGCCTCTAGTCCTATAATTCTTAGTAGAAATCAAATAATAAAATTATCATCAAAGATTAGCTATTTTTACAAATTATCAATTTTACAAAGTATGCTCTCTTAGGAAATCGTGTCTATTTTGAAGCATAGTAAAATAGAAATTGAATTATTATCGTTAATATCAAATATAACAGCTATTATAGTTTATTTCTAGTGTTACAAATAAAGTTTATCAATATAAATAATTAGTACTTAATTGTGAATTAAGCTACAATTACTAAAAGAAATCAAACTATCAGTATAGTGTAAAATATTGTTAACAGATACAAATTATTGTCAGTGTTACAAATTAAAATTGCGAATATAAATTATAGTTCCTAAAACAATGTTGTTAGCATTCCAATTGCTATCATAAAATTACTGGTAACTAGCTGGGCGCCAGTGGCTCATGCCTGTAATCCTAGCTTCTCAGGAGCCAGAGATCAGGAGGATTGCAGTTCAAAGCCAGCCTGGGCAAATAGTTCATATCTCAAAAAACCCATCTCAAAAATAAGGATGGTGGAGTGGCTCAAGGTGAAGGCCCTGAGTTCAAACTCCAAGTACCGCAAAAAAAAAAATACTGGCATTAAGTTTCCTATTGATAATATAAATTATAGGAGTAGGCATGGTGGCTCACACATGTAATCCCAACTACCTGGGAGGCAGAGACAAGAGGCTCCTGGTTTGAGGACAGCCCCTGCAAAAAGTTAGCAAGATCTCATCTCAATCAATAAGCCAGGTTTGGTGGTGCGTGCCTGTCATACCAGCTACGTGGGAGGCATAGGTAGGAGAATTGTCTTCTGAGACCAGGAAACATGAAACCCTGTCTGAAAAAAATAACTAAAGCAAAAAAGGGCTGGGATCATGGCTCACGTGATAGAGTGCCTGCCTGACAAGCTCAAGACCCTGAGTTCAAACCCCAGGTCTACCCCTCCAAAAGGGGTCTGGGGCTGGAAGTAGAGCTCAAATGGTAAATGCTGGCCTAGCAAGCCCAAGGCCCTGAGTTTAATCCCCAATACTGAAAACAACAACAACAACAACAAAAAACCCACAAAGAGCAACCAAACAAAAAAGAGTGCTATGATTTAAGTTGCTTACAACAAAAATCCAATCATTAGTTTGTCATTATTCCGTTCCACATTCTTTGAGACACAGCATATAGGAGAGCAAGATTAAGAGCATAGACTCTATGTTTCTGTTTAGAAATCTTAGCTCCACAACCTAGTAACTACTTAGCATAGAAGTTACTTAAAAGTCCCAAGCCTCAATTTACCCACCCACAAAATGTAGGTAATAATAGTTCCTGCCACATGGAGTTGGTGTGAGAATTAAATTACTTACTAACTGTAAAGTGATTAAAACAGTGCATCTGGCATAGCTTCACTGACACTTATGTGTTGATGAAATTCTCTTCTTAATCCTAGGTGATTGTTTCATCATGAAAGGGTGTTGGACTGCCAAATGCTTTTGCTGTGTTTATTGACTTGATAATGTGGCCTTTGTCCTTTATTTTAGGAATATAGTATTACATAAATTGATTTTCATGCAAATAAGTAGGTTCATAAATTTGTTTATGGTGTGCAGACATTTGCATTAGTGGGCTAAATCTCACTTGCTCATGTTATAAACCCTTTCATATGTTTGTATATTGTTGAGGGTTATGGTATTTATATTCACAAGGGATATTGGTCTGTCGTTTTTCTTTCTAGTGATTTCTTTGTCTAGTTTTGGTGACAGAGTAATATTGTCCTCACAGAAAGAATTAGACAGTATTTCCTCCTCTTGTATTTTTGGAGAAATTGGGGTTATATCTCTTAAACGTTTGATAGAATTCACCAGTGAAGACATCTGGCTCTTTCTTAGTATAAAAAGCTTGTCGACCTTGTTGACCTTTTCATATAGCCACTTTTTTGGTCACATCCACCCTAACCTTTATTACTTATTTCTTTGTGCTTACTTTAAACTTAGTTTGCTGTTTTTCTAATTTCTTAAGATTGAAGGATAGGTGTTGATTTGATGTCTTTCTTCTTTTTTGGGGGGGTGGTAATAGGGTTTGAATTCAGGGTCTCATGCTTGCTAAGCAGGTGGTCTACCACTTGAGCTACTCCTCCAGCTCTAATGTCTTTCTTCTTTTAAATACATATGCTCCTCCCCTCTAATACGGATAGGGTTATGTACCAAAAAGCCAGCCATAAGTTGAAAATGTTGTAAGTCTAAAATGCACTTAATATATCTAACCTACAAAACACCATAGATTAACCTAGCCTACCTTGAACATTCTCAGAACATGTACATGTAACACAAAGTCTATTTTATACTAAAGTATTGAATATCTCAGCTATACCCACAGATGGGCATCTTGTAGACATAATAGGATACAAAAATTCAAAGCACAGTATCCAAACTTTGGCGACACAGTATGCTGTGGAGTATCAGTTCTTTCCCCTCACGATAGCATTGCTGTGGCTCACTGCTGCTGCCCCGCATTGTGAGAGAGTACAGTACTGCATATTGCTAGCCCAAGAAAAGATTAAAATTCAAAACTTGAAGTATAGTTTCTACTGACTGCAGAACTTTCATTGTAAAGGCAAAATTTTCTAGCTGGGCACAGTGACTCATGCCTGTAATTCTAGCTACTCAAGAGGCAGAGATCCAGAGGATTACAGTTCTAGGCCAATCCAAGCAAAACGTTTGTGAGATTCCATCTCAACCGAATAAAAGCCAGGTATGGTGGTACATGCCTGTCATCCCAGCTTCATGGGAAGCATAAACAGGAGGATTGCAGTCCAGGCCTGTCCATGTATAAAATGAGACCCTATTGGAAAAATAACTGAAGCAAAAAGGGCTGGAGTGTGGCCCAAGTGGTAGAGCACTTGCCTAGCAAGCACAAGGCTCTGAGTTCAAACACCAGTACCTCCAAAAAATTTTCTAAGTCAAATCATCTTAAGTCTAGAACTATCTGTATAGATATTTTACAACTATGAATTTTCCTCTAAACACCACTTCAGCAGCATCCCTTAAGTTGTGGTGTGTTGTATTTTCTTTACATTCATATCAAAGTATCTTCTAATTTCCCTTGTGATTGCTTCTTTGATCCATTGGGTTTTTAAGAGTGTAGTGGTACTTACTTTCCACATATTTGTGGATTTCCAAGATTTCCATCTGGTATTGATTTCTAATTTCATCCCACTGTGGTCAGAACATACTTTGTATGAGTAACTGAAATCACACAAAAGCACCGACTTGCACATTTTATTAAAAAAATAAAATGTAAGGGCTTGGGATGTGACCTAAGTGGTAGAGTACTTGCCTAGTGGGCACAAAGCCCTGAGTTCAAACCCCAGCACTGCCCTTCCCAAATTTATGGCATATGTGTAAGGCATACATCATGATGTTATGTGACACATGTAAGTAGTGAAATGATCACTAAAGTGATGCAAAATAATGTGTCCCATCTCACATATTTACCATTTTGTAGCAAGGTCAGCTAATACCTACTTAATCATTTAGCAAAAATCCCATGCAGTACAATTTTAGTAACTACAGTTCTCCCATTGTATACTAGATCTACAGAATTGTTCATTCTTCGTATCTGCTGCTTTTCTTGTGGTGCTGGGGATTGAACCCAGGGCCTCAGGTATGCTAAGCAAGAGCTCTAGCACTAAATTACACCCCAGGCCCGAATCTGCTACTTTACATCCTTTGACCTACATCACCCATTTCTTCC